TGCCCGTACACACACCCACCACCCCCCCCCCGCCTATTATTCGTAAAGTTGAAAATTTCTGCTTAGTTGAGAAGACGAAAAATAAATGCAAAGTATGAACCTATAATGAAACTTTTCTTTTTCACACACGCTGACCTGAAACATAACTGTGTATACCCCCACAACTTTCAAACGATTGCGCCGCCCTGCCAGTATGAAATGATATCATTCGACAGATGACTCACCAAGCTTTGATATTCATATCACATATTTTATTTTTGTCAATCTCTCGAATTTATTTGTCCAACTGTAATCGAGAGCGATGAAGAATGCAGACATCAGACGATATAGTGGCAGCATTCATTTTAGTCTTTACACAAACGTAGCGAACTTCGATTAGAAGAGTGAAAGTACGAGTGGCCAGATTAAATGAAATCTTCTCCAGCTTCAAATAAAAATTTGCGGAAACATTTTTCAATGATGTGCATTTGAATATTTTCATACAAATCTCGATAACAGATTCCCGATACTTAAAATTTAGTATATGCACGTTCTATTACATACAAATCGAATATTTCAATTTCATTTGTTCGATATAAAATAAACTGTCTTACTTAAGACAACAACCGAAATGAACACTAAATAATACTTTCTACAGCATTTATCCACTCATTATTTTTGATTGAAAAATCTACAATAAAACTTGTCAATAGCTACATTAAAATTACAAGTGTAAGTGTTATTGAGCATTAAAATGGCACGAAAATACTTCATATTTCGATTCCATTATTCGATTCACATGCCTGCTTCTTTTTTTTATTATGAAATAGTCAAGTTTCAATCTTTTCATTTGATAGTTTATGCGCATTGTTAATGAATCCTTACGATTCAACGCACAAGTCACAGAAAAATGTTGTCAATCAATTTAAATAAAAACACTTGACATGCATGATTTTTTATAGAAACAAAAAAAAATGGTTCCATACGGCTCCATGTATCGATCAATACGCGATAGACAACAATGTGAGATATTGTATTGTTTAGAATCATAAGTTAAAAAGCAACTTCATGCATATAAATTAGACGTATGACCAATAGGAAAATATTTTTACTGAGAAATCTTTCCTATGAAAAACAGCAGATCAATCACCTAGAGGTGCGATTAATTTGGATAATAGTCAAATTAGAGAATAAGAAAAAAAACAAGTGCTCTATTAGAATATTAATCTAGAAAGGTTGATGACAAATTGCATAATTTTTACTTTTTTCGCGATAGAATACGCATCAATTCTAGTCTATATAAACTATATATCTTTTTCAATTGAAATTAAAAAAGAATAGATTTAATCGTGGCTTCAATCGCCACTTCTCGTCATGTTGTGTACTTCATGGCTAGTGAACGAAACCAGAAGATGCTGAAATATATGACATCATCGAAAATAAAAGTAACCAAGTAGAGTGTCAGTGAACAGTCAATTAATTAACTAGAAAAGCAGGGCCCTTTTTTTAGGAATAGACCGAATCTAGACAATATCGTAAACGGGGACAAACCAATCAGATATCAGTAAATAATGCGCGCGACTCAAAACCTATAATTCCTTTAATCATGCATTAACTTATTCGATCGGCAGAAGCACAACAATACAGAGAAGCACTTGAGCACAAAATGTAGAAATACCAGAGAAAAGATAGATTGTGAAATATAAGAAAAAGTATTTTTTTTTTCTATTTGCATAAGTGTTCCTGCCTAATAGAGATTGCTCAGATATGTACAGCAGTACTAAAGTGTTATCAAAACATGCCTAGCGCCCTAGAAACAAATCCATCTTGAATAGTACTATTGTTTCTGATTTATCAACACTTGATTTTCACGGGACTATTTTCAACGTAGGTAAACTTTTAAAATATTCAATTTCTATTACGCAATTGTTCATTTTCACCAATCAGAATATCTGCGCTAAAAGTTATCTCTCAAATCAGTTGTAATGTACTAGTAGACAGAAGAAACCCTTGAATTTTTTTCTTTGAATTACATCAATGTTCACATGCATAAAAACAGGATTTACGTAAATATAATTCTTATCGAATTCGAACATTTATCTATAGAAAAGATATTTTGTTGATTCTATTTACGCAAGTGCGTATCTCTTATTGATAAGGCTTTTTCTCTTATGTTCATCGTCATAGCTGACTCATTGTCAACGTTTCTTGCTTCTCCGCCTACCAACACGGCTATATCAATATTCTATTTTCGCACAAAAATTTCATTGGTTCATTTTTGTCATTTGCATTCTCATGAAAGAGAAAAAGTGTTCGATGCACCACACACCTTCTTTTGTTTGTATAAAAGAGTAACTCTTCGAAAAAGAAAAAGAAAAGAAAAGAAAAGAGAACACTTCATTTCCACTAGAGTGTCTCGTTCGGTAAGTAACATTCGAATTTAACATAAACAAATGTTTTAAGATGAACATTTTTTTTTGTCTCGATTTCGTTAAAATATTACTTTTCGCATCATCTTCTTTCTTATCATCGAATAAAAGAACGTAAAGAAAAAGAGAAAAAATAAAACGAAGAGAATCAAAAAAAAAACGGCTGAAAACAGATAGACTCTTACGTCATTTCTTAAACACGCGACACATATCAGCAGTATTTTATTCCCATAATTGAAAATTTATCATATTATAGATTGTCCTTGACAAATATTAATTCGAACTGTGAAGACGATTACAAGCAACTTTCTTCTATTGATTTTTAACAAGATTTGATGCAAGTAATGCAAGGCAATTTACAAAAAGACACAACATTTACGAAAATATTTGTTGGAGGTAGAAAACCAATTTTATGTGTTCGCTGCATATGAGCTGAAAATTTTTTTTTCTTTGTAAATTCAAGGTTTACCGTATCATACAACTGATGAAACATTACGAGCCTTTTTTTCTAAATTTGGTGATATTGATGAAGCAGTTGTCATAACAGACCGAAGTACCGGAAAATCTCGTGGCTATGGATTTGTATGTTGAAGTTATTTGATGAATTGGTTTTTCTATTATATTTTCTTCTTCTTCTTCTTCGTTGATTAATCTCTACAGGTAACAATGGCACAAAAAGAAGGCGCAGACGAAGCTGTGAGAGAGCCAAATCCAACTATCGACGGGCGTCGTGCTAATGTTAATTTAGCATATTTAGGTGCTAAAAATCGAACTGCGACTTTACCATGTATGTTTAGTCATTCATAATCAACCAACAATTTAGTTTATTGATTTCTTGTTTTTGCAGTCAATTACAGTGTAATTACTCGTATGCCTACATATCAATCGACTGCTGCTGCTTATCCGTATGTATATAAGTGATAGTTATTAGGAATAAAAATTAATAATTATTTTTTTTTATGCAAATGTAATGAGACATCTGATTTTGCATATAGATTTGCTTTTTGAGAGGGAAGCCATTTGTTTGTTTTCAATCGTCCTTTTTTCTTATCAAAAAGGCTTCTCTTCTTGTTCTATCCGCCTTTCCTTTTGATCGAATCGAAATGAAACAAGACACAACAATACAAAAAATAAAACCGAGAGAAATCTTCAGACGAAATAATAACGTGAGTGCATTTTCAGCCAGCGGCATTAAAACAATAGTAACTTATATACAATAGGAGACATAAGTGAAAAGTTGGATAAACAATTATCATATTTTCACATGTTACAGTTGAAAAGAAAGGACAGAACAATGGCAAACAATTTTCTTTTCTTGTTCTCTCTCTCTCTCTCTGTATAGGCTAATGCAAAGCGCTGCCAACGGATGAGCAGCAAAGTGATTTAAATGAAAAATGAAATTCTACATATAAGACGTAGGCCAAGCTAGATAAAATGTATATATTCAAGATGATCATGAAAGTGTCAAAAGCTTCATTTTGTTCTTCTCTGGTCGTGTAAAAGTCTTCTGAATTATTGGGCGCCTTTCATGATTACTTTGAGACTGACTTATTTAAAAGCAAATGCCTCCTGCATTCTGGTTAGTTGAATATTTTGAAAAGACTTCATCATATGGTCGTATCATAAAATCAAGAAATTTTTACAGGCGTATAGGTTTCATCTAAATGAAAATTTCCTCAAATTCTTTCTCGATTATCAGAAAATCATTTTATCGTATTCTGGATTAATTGTTTTGAATTGTCTCTTTGTAGGATTAAAGTTTGAATTTTATTCAAGGAACATCCTCTGTGAATAATATCTAGATGCTTGTAGGTGGTTTTATCGCGTGCTCTGACAGTGTTATTTTTTTTTTGATTTGGCCGTTTACGTGTTGTTTGCCGTGTGTGCATAAATATCAAACAAAGTCTAATGATTTGTTTATTATTTATCATGATTCTCTTTCCCTTATTCGGCACTATTAAAACTTATTATCAAAGCTCTGGTTTTTCATTCTTTTCCCTTTACATGTGTGTGCGTGTGTTTTATTTTGTTTGTTTGTGTTTTGGCTCTCTTTGTGTTTGGTTTGACTTCGATCATTTTGGCAGAGAATTTGCATAGAAAATTTTCTAAAAAAAACTTTCCATAAAAAATGATATTTATGAATAGCTTTTTACTTTGTCTATTTAGTTCCAATGTTGTGTATTATCCATTGGCTCAACAATCAGGGCTTCAACAGCCTGTTTATTTAGCGCCAACAAATGCTGGAACAGCAACATCCTGGCCGTCAAATCTATTTTCACAATTTAATCTTGCCAATCTATCAGCTGGAGGAACAACAAATACGAATGTATCGACAACATTAAATAACGGAAATACAGCATCACCACAGACTGTTTATGAAGTGCAACCTGCTCTATTTGAATCAACAACATCAGCAACTGGACAACAATTATATTGGCCGAGTTATAATTAACTTCTCATTTGTTTTTGTTTTTTCTTCTTGTTCGTTTTCTCTTTCATGTAACAAATCTTCTTTCTTTTTTTTTTATCATCGTTTTATTTCTCAGAAAAAAATTAAGACATATAGAAATAAATAAACAACATCGAAAGAAAAAAACAGACACCTACTATGTCCGTGGTTTGAATTGATCGCCATCGAAAGGTAATTTAAATTTTTTTATTTCAACCATTAATTGATGAAGATTTGGTAAGGATATATTTGATGATGCCGTTTTTAAATTTGTATTACTCGATAACAAACGTTGAAAATCATGATAATAGGATAAGAATTGAGTAAAAACTTCTTTAAGGATTGGTTGACTGAGCTTAAGAGATGGAAATGAACGAATTACATCATTATGAATTGAATCGAATGTTTTTTTAAAATCACCACTGAATAATTTACTAATTACTGTTAATTTATCTATTTAGTAACAGAAGGTTTTGTTTTGGACATCAGATTATAATAAATAAATGACTTACTTTCTAATTGTTTAATATTGCCATCGGATAAAAATTGATCACTATCACGAACAAAAGCGATCAACGGAGAAAAGTACGGTATTAGCACTTCTTTGACATAGTCATCAATACGATCACGGAGCAAACTTTTAACTGCATCACATTCTGATGAATCTTCATTTGTATATGCCTTAAAATAAAATTGAATTCATACTACACAATTCTAGGCATCCAAAGAGTTCGATCGTTCGTAGGATGATTTTCTTAGTCAATGCATGGAAGAAGAGTACATCTTACATACGTACAAAAGTATATTTCAACCGCTTTAAGAGCAAAGTAGCCATTACTTTCTTAACTAATCGGAGAGTTGAGAACACCGATATCGAGCTCTTTAACTGAAATAGTTTTTTCTAAATTCGACAATTTCTTACTGTTAAAACAGATAAAATCAAGTCATAATTGTTAATAATGAAAATTAATTGTTCTTTTCTTTGCGGAAATTCACCACCCATTCGAAGAATAAGGTTGAGTATTTCAACTTGCAAACGCGTCATTAGTGTTGAAATTTTCTCATTAGGAAACTCTTCATTTAATCGTGTTACAGCTCCGGAAAATTCCGCATAACGTCGTACGATCTAAATATTGTTTTATTGAAATGTGTTTTTTTTTCAACAAAGAAACAAAGAAATGCCATCTTACAAAATGTGGATTGAGTTCAATCGATGAAAATTTGTGTGGTTCAACACGTTGCACACTATCAATATTAGCTTTCATAACAATTTCAAAACGATTTTCACATATGCTGATCAGTATTTCATGAAATCTAAAACATAATGTTCTATCGTAAGTACTATTTAGTAACAAAAACAAAGACATACATACTTATTCAATATCGGTACACTACGTTTATTAGCTATAACTTGATAACGATAAACGAGATGCATACACAGTAAAATTGCAATAGGATCGAAAGAATCCGACACATAGCTTTCGAAGTTTTTTTGCATTAACTTAAATGTTTTTTCGAAGATGTCCATAAAAAATTTTGGAGCTGCTCGATTGTCTAACATAAAGAAGTCGCAGAGAAATAAATATTCGCGACAACAATTATCTAATAAAGCAAATTGTTCACTGCGGAATAAATATTCAAATGGATGCTGAAAAACAAAATCGTTGAGATTTAATTGATGGACAAGACTTTCCATTACTTTTATGTCAGCTTTTTGTTGAGCATGTGGAACCATGATTGGAGCTTCTAATTCTTGTTTGAGTACACAATCGCGATTGCCCAAACTGAAGACTGTTGCACGATGTTTTAGATTTGGCTTTATTGAATAAAAATTTTCATGAATGAAAAAGGGAAACGAACAATTTTACTTACACGAGCACTTGCTGAGAAGAACGACATACTCGATCGAGGCCGATCATCAGCGCCCAGTACATCATCTTTTTCTGGTTTGTCATCTAACTATAAAAGCAAATAATGAAATAAAATTATCGATTTCGATCATTCACTAAATATCGAATCGGTCAAGCTCAAGTTCGGTAGGAAAGCGAATTATTTAAAGTATATCATTGAATTATGATAGCTACAAAATAGGAGAATTCAATTTCAGTAGAAAAGTAATTTTTTTCTTCCAAACTATCTGATTGACTAGAACGGAAATGTTCTTCTGGGCAATCAAGACTTTTGAAGCATCTTATGCTTTTCTTCTTATCACCGTTGAGAAATAGTTTCATAGGATTTCCATGATTAGTCGTTTGAATTTGAAAGAACTCTTCGTTTTATCTAAAGAAAACTATTGTTTCGAATGGCGTTGAAGAGTCCCGAAAGAATTCGAAATAGCGTGAAACTTAACTTACTTGCAGTTTGATTAGTTTAGCTGAATAAGCTTTGAAATACGAAAAATAAACTTTGCCTAATGTATCGATATATTCTCTTTGAATTTCATCTGCAATTTGTCTATCACTTGTTAATAGAAATTCATAGAAAAATCTATTTCTTAATAAAGCATTTTGTGGCACTTCATAATTAGTCATTGGTTTACGAAATTGATAAATTTTTTGCAATATAAATTCACGAAGTTTACTGATTGTCTATAAAAAATAAAAATAAAAGATTTGACAAAAAACGTAACCAAATTTCGAAAATAAAACCTTACTTTTACACGTAACTTTTCTAAAACTTCTTGCACATCTTGACACGCGATAGCATCGTGAAATGATTGTTCTTTAACAAACTTGATTTTATGACTTAATTCATGAAGTTGTTCAAGAAATTGTCGTTCTGTGACCGGCATATCCGTAATAATTCTACGAACAAAAATAAAACACAAATCTAAAATTCCATTTATCTCTCTAATACGTACTGTATCATCGATTGTGGTACAACCATTTCGTCAACAACTTGAGTTAATTGTCCACGTACCAGTTCTCGATTCTTCTTTTTAATATTCAATTCAGCGGAATAATGTTGTAGATGGCGAATTTCGTTACTAATATTTGCTAGATTATTTTGAAAATTTCGTAACATATGATCCATAGACTATGCAAACAAAAATAAAATTTAGAAACTTGTAGAATAAAAATATTACTTCGAGAATTTTATCGCATGATGATATTTGCATGTGAAGATTTGCAATATTATTTGCTTCGCCAATAACTTAAAAAGAAAATTCAAATAATATTGAAGATTTCAGAGGCATCATATACTATACTAAACTACGTACAATCTTGCACAAAAGCTTTTTCATGTATTTGTAATTTGTCTTGTATTTGTTCGGAATACTGTGCTAGATCAATATCCTATAAATATGAACGTTTTTCAATCGATGAATTTTCTCCTGTCAATCGTATTTACTTGTGTAAGCGCTTCTTGAACAAATTTATCTTGTAAATTTTCTTCAATATTAGCTAAAATAAAAATCGGTTATGCTTGAATTTCTATGTCAAATAGCATACCTTCCATATCATCTAACGACCATTCTTCGTCGGGCGGTTTATCTGATTGAAGTTTTTGTAATATATTGGCAGCCTAATAGACGAGAAGATCATTTTAAAGAAAACAATAGATATTTAGTAATTATTCACTTCGAGATAAAGTTGTTCGCTCTCTAAATCGCCGAGATCTGTCTGATCCGTATGGAATGGTTCTTCAGTGGCCATGATTAGATATGTATTTATCTACAAATAGCAAATGCATTGGGTCTAAAAACAACGAATGATGTTCGCGAAACGATGAAGCAATATAATTTATTTCTCTTGAATTTACAACTCGTCGAGTTCGATGAACTATCCGACGTAGAACATTGATTATTTTTTAATTACGCACTCCAAAAGAAGGAGGCATAATTTAAGATTTTTCTTTCGTAGCTCTTTTTTCGCATCAGTTACACGTCAAGACAAATAAAATAACAAATCAATGAATTCTTATTTCTTTTTAAAAATATATATTCACATAGTAGAAAAATTCTTAAATTTCGTCTTTTTTCTCTGGAATAATTATCTGTACAGGATTTTCCTGTTTTCCTACAATCGTTTAACATACACACAAAAATAACAAACAAATTAATTGTTCTTTTGTAATCTTTCCCTATGTGTATCAGTGATGATTCAAATAAAGATTATCGAAGTTGCCGTCTAGACACATCATTTGCCCCGCTTGCAGTTGACATAGATGAACTATTTACATCAAAAGCTGAACGACATGTTGTGCATGTTGCGGCATTATCACAATAAATAGATAAACATACTGAACAAACATAACCTGTATCAATTAATTTATGATGACAAAAGCAGGCTGGACGATAATCAACAGCGACTTTAGTCGGTAATGCAAGCATCTTACGAACGTCCTTATCAGTTAAATAAAGCCAAAGCAAATATTGCAATAAACCATTGGGATCAGGTACACGTAAATATATACCGGATGTTAAATCGCCTAGAAACAAAAAGCAAATCATTAGCCTATAAAATTTACCTCTGGATACAATTAGTGATGATAGAAATCTCTATATTTTGACTTACAAGCTTGTTGTAAAAGACTAGAATCATTGTTAAGTATACAACCGTCGATAGGTACGTTCATTTTTTCTGATGTAAAAACTGCATTCATAAAATTCATATATTGTTTTGATGTGTCAGCTGTGGTTTGAATAATTAATATTCTATATGAAGTTTTTTCACCGGGTACTGTATCACGTATAAGACGATTGATATAACAAAGCGCTTGTGTTACCGCCATGGTTATCATTGAACCAGTTGAAGTTTGCGAAGGTAATACATTTTGCATGAATTCTTTAACATTATTTTCTACAATACGATCAATCACAAATAATTGTTCGAAGAGATTTGTTTTTGTTACGGTAGGAATTATTAATGATTCACTTGTTGGATCAGGATAAAGAAAACAGGTTTCATTGTTTGAACAGCCGACTATTGTTAAACGATGATTAATATCAAATGCGATATATGCATTACAAAATTGTATGATAATTTTAAGGTATTGCTTGAAATTTAATGTCGCTGACGATGAGACTTTATCAGACCAATAAAAAGGATTAAGATCAATGATAACAATAAGATGTTTTGCAGATGAAGACATTTTATTTATTTATAAATATATCTAAAATAGTACGCGTCAAATTAAACATCCTAAAAAATCAAAGGAGTTTTGAAAGCTATTGATGCCGAGAGAAAGAAGTAGGATGACTAATTGATCTTGCAATAGTTTAAATATTAAATATAATTTCCGATTATCTCGACAGTTCTCTGTCCAGTTTTAAATTTAGAACATAAATTGGAATTTTTCTCTTAATTTCAAACTAAATATCTTATGATGTTCTCCAATGATTGTTTCTATTCTATGATTAACAGTTGCTGCACGTGTCTCATAATGAATGAGCGTCATCTGGCAGATCAACACACTCTGGTAAAGCCATTCTCTACGCTAATTTTTGGTTTTACTATGTCTTCTTTTTACAGGGCGCTCATTTTTGATATTTTTTAGTATCTAAAAAAAGCAAAAACAAGAATCGAGATTATTAATTTCTTGTTTATTTTGTACACCGGTCGAACAGTTACTCTTTCGTGATAAATACGCAGCTCATAGCATCAGACATTTTGTCAAAAACGAAAAAATAAAAATAAAGAATAAAATATAAACAGTTATATACACATAACAATAAAATATTGATTGCTCTGAATAAGAGAACCCACTCGAAAATAAGAATAAAAGCAAAACAATGACTTAGAAAAATAGCCCACGCTATATACAATACAAAAATAAAACAGGACAAGCAGAGAGAAAGATTATTGAAAAGTCGGTTACTTTTTTACACATTCATCAGATACAACATCATCATCTCTATGAACAGTGGGCATTCGGGTATGCTGACCAACGTAGCGACGCTTTTTAAATGGTAATTGTTCAGTCGATTGCTTATTGGTTTGTAATGATTGTTGATTGAGTTTATCATCTTCATTTTCATGTCGTTTGTTTTGTAAACTAGACATTGATTCCGTGGCTGATGGCGGCTGAAGAATATTGCATGTACGTGATGCTGACATTTGTGGGGAAACAGGCGGAGGTACAAATAAACTTGTTGGTGCAATATGTGCAAATTGTAATGATCTATGATCAAAAGGTGCTAATATATGTACCGGTTGTGTTGAATGTTGACTTGAAGTCGTAAATAAGAAAACACCTGTGCTACCAGCAAATGGCGCTAAATCAAAGGGCCCACCGGATGGACTGTTGGTTGATGCAGGCGTTGCTATATAGGCAATACTTGATGCAGGAAAAAAATAGGTTGGTAATGAATGAGATTGATTTACTGGAAGTAGATTTGTTAGTTGTGGTAATGATGCCGTAGGAGGACCTGTATTTGACGATGACGGAATTTGTATGGGGAGAGTTGGTGGATCGTTTGCAGCTGATGAAAAATTGGGAGGAGGAGACATAACTTGTACACGATGTGATTGAGATGGTCCCACGGGCTGTGAGATAGTTGGTGTTGAATTTGTTTGAGGATATTCACTGAATGCTGTTGGAGCATTTGAAATAAGAGATGGATGAACTTCTATGAGTAATTAGATACCAAAATAGATAGTTTTAATAATTGTAAAGAGAATGATAAAAAAAACGATTAACACAATCTTTTCATGATTAAAATATAAAATACTACGGATTTGTGTACCTAGTAAATCCAAGGTTATCCACCAGTAGATTCAGCATCCCAGCGGTTGTCCTACGAGTAATGTCACTTCTCACTCTTTACAGAAGATTGGCATAACTCATATGTACTCTGACACCACAGGGTTAACTATGTGCTAAAAGTGTGTCAGGCGATTTGAGACAAACAACCGACAGTGGCTTGCTTAAATACCACATGCTGATGTATCTGTTCTAAATAATGTTGAAACGATGGGGTGGGGTTTGATAAAAATAGCAAATGATTTTCTGCTATGCTCAAGACTCTTATTAGTAAGCAATAACCGCCTTATCTTGAAATTCATATTTTTCAAATTTTCTACAAATAAACTTAAAAGTCGAATAAAAATTTACCGGAATTTCTTGATGTAGACGACTGATTAGAATGAACTGGTGATGAAGTACGATGTTGTTTTGTGCGCGGTGAACGTAAGGGATACGGCATGTGAGTTGGCGAATGTATGCGTGGTCGTGTGGTCGAAATAGACGAATGTGGAAGTGGATTAGTAATCGGTAATGGCGGCGGAGGACTCGTGGAAACACTTGTACGGCTTTTGGGCAAGAGATTTTCGCTGATAGTTCGTGAACGTGTTTTTGGTTTGCTTGTTGATGTCTTCGTTGTCGATCGTTCTTTTAATTTTGCTGCTTGTTGACGAGTTTTCCGTACAATAATGGGTTCAGCAGGAACTTTTTCCTCTTTAAGATTACTTTCCGATGCAGTCTAAATGAGAAATCTTAATGCATGAAACAAAATTTTCCTGTGAATTCGAACAAACCTGTGTCAATGATAATTCTCGATAGTATTCTTCGTCTAGTTGAATTCTTCCAACACCATTTATTTGATGCGCTGAAATGTCCGAATGATTTTTTGTATCATTACGATAATCAAAACAACCGAAAAATTGTATACATATGCCATCAACAATCATCTTTCCAGAAATCCGAATCTAAATTACGCAGTACGTTTTATTTTTGTTTTAAATACGAAATTTCTCTTACTTTCGATTGATCATATGCATCAGGAATACTTTCAACAGAATCAAGAAACAATGAATAGCCAATATCACGAAATGTCTAGATTTCATTTTATAGGAAATAGATTTATTTTGAAAATTTTGACATACCACAATTAAATGTTTATGAGAAAGATCTTCATCAAACCGTTTTGTTATATCTTGATTGGTATTGAGATCGTTATCACCGAAATCGTTTCGAAGCGGAACATAGAATACCTGTTGAGAAATAATAGAAAGAAATTATGCAATTACTAATTAAATATTTGCATTTGGTTATAGGCTTTTTTTACATCCGTTTCATGCAATAGTTTACTCAATTCTTCATGTTGTTCAAATGAATCTTGTTGAGAAGATGAAAGACCAACTTCGATAGGCGGCATAGTGTTGTATTGAAATTAGAACAAAAAATTTGATTTTATCAATAGAAATTCATATATGAAGAAAAATAAGTTGATTGTTTGTGTGGCTGCCGCGTCGTTGCTGGGTGCGTGATTCCTTCTAGTCTCATGACGTATTTCTGTCATTGGAGTGCACGTGCCATTTTACTTTCCTTCTGGACTTCGTCATTAACAGCCAATCAAAAGCGACATAGAGGAAGTCAACTAAATAACTATTCGAGATTTTTATACGCATTGAAAATGTAATTTTATAAAATTGATTTAAAATATGATCGATCTTCAAGAAACGCAATATTTTACTATTTTCTTATTGTTTAACTTGATCAACATCATCAGTAGATGTATTCATGATTCATATTTATTCCTTAGGATGCTAATCGTCGCAATCAGTGTTTTTCCAATGGAAATCTAAAACAAAATACACAGTACACTCTGTATCTTGTGAGAAAAGTGTATATTTCACTTTGTTTTTCTGAGCAAGTGTAAAACAGAGTGTAAATCAAAAGTAGCAGCTGTTCGAAACATTTTGCTTCTGCTTGGTACACTTGCCATTGAAAACATTGGTCGCGATAGATCTTTTTGCGCATAACTTATCAACACAATTTTATTTTACTCTAATTGTTGTTTTTTTTAAGATGATAAATATCATAATAAAACGTTCATTGATACCTTATTGCTCTATTGGTAATTCAATATCGAAACGATATCTATCAAGTGAATCTGCTGATGTATTTAAATTACAAGAACGTGGATTTTTTTGTGATAACCTAACTGACACTGAGTAAAATTTTCAAGTTTCTATGAGTGCAAAAGAACTAATAGTTTACCTTTCAGCGATAACCTTAGAAAACTTGTCACATCTAAAAAGCAGTCCATCTACTGTGGATTTGATCCGACAGCAAAATCAATACATATTGGTAATTTAGTCGGTAAGTCAACTTTCCTGTTGTTGTTAGTTTTTCGATAAAAAAATGAATGATTTTATAGGCCTCATTGGATTACTGCATTGGCAACGAGCAGGTCATCATCCTATTGCACTCGTATGTATACGTCTGTCAAGAAACGAGTGGTCTCGCTCGAGTCTAATGTTTGATAATTATTGATGTGTGTTTGTCTGTTGAATTTGTTTTTTTCGAAATTTAGTTAGGCAGTGCCACAGTACTAATCGGTGATCCATCTGGACGATCGACGGAACGCAAACAAAGCTTGAGTAATGACGATATTGTATCAAATACGGAGAATATTGAACGTTTAATACGATTGATATTTCAAAATCATGAGAAATACTTTTGGAAAGAGCAGCAGAAAAAACTTATGCCGTTGACGTAAGACTTTAGAAATAAAATATTAATTTTGTTAATTTTTATCTGTTTAAATAAAGGGTAGTAAATAATTTATCATTCTATGAAAATATGAATACGATTACGTTTGTTTCAACATATGGACCACATTTTCGAATGAACCAATTACTGTCACGAAAAGTGTAAGTTTTCATGTGAAGTTTTAAGTAAAAACTTAACTGTTAAATTTAGTATTAAAACTCGTATTGAAACCTCTCACGATGGCCTAGGCTACAATGAATTTAGTTACCAACTTTATCAAGCGTACGATTGGTATTGCTTATTTAAACAGTATGATTGTCGTTTTCAGGTAATTATAATATTCTATTTCGAAGGTTCAATATATCTTTATTATTATTCAAATCGTTGATTTGTAAATAAGCCTGTTTTGCATATTTATAGTATATAAGTCGATTGATTGAGAAGCAAAGTTATTTCCTTAAATGTAAATTGATCGAATGATAATGACGATTGTAAAAACTAGATAAGAATGAAATTCAACGTTCTTTTGTTGGCGATATTCCGCGCATGAGATTAACGTAGTGAAGATTCTTTGACGAAGAAATATAATTTAACTTTTTTTTATGAACAAATATTTTTGGAATTCTTTTCCAATAAATATTATTCTATTCAAGTAATCATCTATCGGTTCGGTAGTTAATGATGTGAAGATTTCTAATAAATAGTTTGCATTTATTTTTTAGCTCGGGGGCGTTGATCAAATAGGTAATATGCGCAGTGGTCACGATTTTATATCTCGAATGACAAATTTCGAGGAAGACAGCTATGGTACGTATCTAATTGTTCATTAAAAATCGAGCTTTATGTTTGTTCATTTCAACAGGAGTAACTGTGCCATTGATAACCACTGAGAGCGGTGAAAAATTAGGTAAAAGTGTTGGCAATGCTTTGTGGCTTGACGAAAATCTCTCTAGTCCTTATGAATGTTATCAGGTTAGTAGTTTTACTTCAAATTAAAATTACTCTTAGTTTTCTCTTATTCAGCATTTTAGAAATACGCCGGACTCAAAAGTAGAAGAATATTTAAAAATCTTTACATTTCTTCCGTTGAATGAAATTCAACAGCTTATGGAAGTACATCGAGTGAGTTTGAATAATTTCATCTAAACGAGTCACTTAATGAAGAATAGAACTTTTCCTTCGTTATTACAATGTACAATTGATTTTTTACTTAAGAGTAAACCTCATGAATATGCTGCTCAAATCAAACTAGCCAAACAAATAACATTATTAGTTCATGGAGGTTAATATCTTATGATTGCATCGACATCAATTCTTGTCTTTTTAGAACAAGGACTTGAATCAGCAATACGTAGTACACAAGCCATGTTTGCACAAAATATTGATTTACTACATAATTTAGTCGAAAAAGAAATCAATGGTTTATCTGCCAGCGTTCCGACAATTCAAATGTCACTTAATCCAGGTAAGATTCATTTTAATAATAATAAATATTTCGATGTTTTGACTCTTCAGAACTCACACTACTCGATGTTTGCATGTCTGCGAAATGTTTTTCAAATGAATTGGTTGCACTTAAAGTCATCAATGATGGCGGTGTTTATGTGAATCATAAAAAACTATCAAACCCTCAGGCAGTACTCGTCTTTGGTGTTCATATATTACCCAATATGATTACTGTATTACGTGTTGGTAAGAAGAAAAGCAAATTATTCTATTCTTTTAATTCATAGAAAATTAATTTTTGTATTTGCAGGAAAGAAAAACTTCTACATGATTCGATGGACAAATGTTGACACATCATTGCGTCAAGAAGTTTAGTTACTTGATTTTTTTTCTTTTCTTTGTCCTTTATATGCAGTTTTTTTGTTATAAATCGATGATGTAAACTTTTACATATCTATATACGTGCGCGATCAAGCGCAAAAGATTCATCATATATTTAGTTCGCATGCATACATACTCATTCGATAAGTGAACCAGAAAGATAGCGCGCGTGCGAGAGAGAGAGAGAGAAAGGACAAGGGCGAATTGGTCAAATATTTAATATTCTATGAATCGAACAAAAGGTTTATCACAATATTACGAAGAAAAACGACAGATGATTATGAATAATAATGAAGAAAACTTTCTTTACGAACAAAAAGATCAACCAAAAGTGATGAGAAGTAAAAAATTTCATGGAATTATAAGTACATGCATGCAAACTGGAAACTCATCGATTACACAGAATAGTCATAAATATGATTCAACTACTAGTAGTGAACAATCGTGAGTAATAAAATATAGCATAGGAGTTTTTTTGTATTATTCGTGAAGCTGATTGTTCTCTTGAAAAGTGTGGAATAAAATAAGAGAATTCATTCAGATCAAGAAGTCGATATGCAGATTTGATTCGAGATTCAATTTCGCATTTGCAAAAGAAAGTGGTAATCTGATCCTATTCGGATAGACTGTTTCGTAAGAAGAGTGAAAGAAATACTAATCCTGGTTTAGCCGTGCAGATATAATCTGGATCCGACCTAGATAAACAACCACAGTCTCGTATTGCTTAGAGATTATTACTCTTTTCGATTCTAAAATAAAATAGGGCTTTGAAAAAGCTACACTGACTATTACGTCTGGTCATGTTTTATTTAGATCTAAATACCATCAAAAACTGATATCTATCGAAATATATACAGTTTAGCTAAACAGCCGTGTGTCTTTGCCATTTGATTGTGAAACGGAATGGGCTATTCACGATCAAAGTATTCTCTAGTTAGGTCTTAAGTTCCCCAGCCTTTCAATCTCATTTGCGTTGCTCAATTGAAAAACATTTCTCGTACATATGAGAGAAGCCTATAATAAAACAATTCGCAAGATCTGGCCTTCTGCACTCGATTACACTAGACGTTATTTAAAAACTGTGTTTAAGTCTCAATGTATCTGCTGTAGGTTTCTTTGCTTGAAATTTAACAAAGTTTCATTGCTACACTAACGCGGATAGTCGTTCATATTTATTGCAAACTTAATTACGAAAACTGCGATGTTATCTGTACATGGCAGAAAAATGACTTTCAATGCTGCTGTGCTACTATTTCCATGTAAACTCTACAGACGACTAAACCCATAGAAGTACTCCCTAGTGTACACAGGACAAATTATGAAGAAAGCAAAATTCTGCTCAATTACAAATATATACTAAGATTAACATGCTCGGCAGGTTGATATTAGGCGGAAAATAATCGCCTAAATTCAGATGTCTCTTGGACATCAGGATCATAGCTATACATCAAGAAAATTAGATTTACTCAAGTCTCTTCCACAGTTTGGACATTCTCAGAAATCGAAGATTTAGTATCGTATGTATTTATATCTTAGAAGAACATTTGAATAATGCATAGATAGATTAAATGCATTAGCATAATTTCATGTCTTCAAAAATAGTAGCACTACTAGAAATCCTTGTAGCATTCAAAACCTTTTTGTAAGTTTAAATACCCGATCGTGCTGAGATTTGTGACTATTATAGTTTAACACGTAAATTTGTTCGTTATTCAAATTTTCGTCAAAGTTGCCAAGAAAATACTTATCCAGGCAATCAACATAAGTATCAAATAAAATCCTCATCATTCCGTATTGAACCAAAACTAATCTACGAGGAAACATGGTTATCCAATAAACGATATAATACACGTGTTGCAGCCAATATTGATAATAGGAAAACAGAAACGACGATTGAAAAAAGTAATCAAACAACTCCGAAACGTAAATCATCACGTACATGTACTTATCAAGTATCTAACGGACAGGTTGTTCACGAAAGAATTTATGCGCCGACGATCAAACCGAAACTGTGCTTACGGATTGCTGTCAATGGTGCATCGAAATCTATGCGCGGTCAATTACCATTATCAAATTTGAATTTAACTAATGGTGATTTTGGTGACGATGCTGGAATGATTGTTGAAAATCGAGATTATTGTTTCGTTGGTAAGTCAATGTGAAAGAGAAACATAAAAGAGTTTGATAAGTAATGCATTTGTGAAGGTTTGGCTGATGGTGCTAGTGGCAATCGTTCATTCGGTATAAATCCAGCTGATTTCTCTCAGGCCATTCTTGCTGCTTGTGGCGATATTCTTAATCAAACGAAAATTCAACCAAATCAACTGCCACGACTTATTATGTCAGCTATGCAACAAGTTGAAGCAAGTCATGTTCGAGGTAACACAAATGTTTCGTTAGTAGCGGAGTCTAGAAGTCAAGAGGTTTCTAGAGAATCGTCTGCCTTTATTTAAGAATAATTTTTGATAAAGATAAAAAAAAACACATCGATGATTTATACATAGGTAGTAGTACATTGTGTTTATTCGCCCTTGATAAACAAGAAAAAACGTTGACATCGCTGAATATCGGTGATAGTGGTTTTGTTATCTATCGAAATAATGAAATTTACGGTCGATCAAAATGTACGATGAATTCGAGCGGAATCGGACCAAGACAATTATTCGCTGTCAATGGTTCACTTGGCTTACCATGTTTCATCAATGAAAAGTTAGTAAAACGCCGACGTTCTCAATTATAGAATTGGCTGAAGGCAATACAAAAATGTTTTGTTTTTATTATTTTAACTTTTAGCGAAGTACTACGCGATTGTTCATTGGATAGAGTCGCAGTTCAAAAAGATGATATTATTATCTTATCGTCAGATGGTTTATGGGATGTAATTAAAGCTGATCAATTACAACGAATTGTAAAACGAAATGCTAATAACGTAATTTTATCTTTTTATATTAATATCAACTTTAAAAAACACAATCATTTCTTATAGCATTTACAAGATTTAGCTGACGACCTTCTAAGTCAAGCAGTTGAAGGTAACGCTATTGTCGGTGTTGGTACAATTATAAAATAGAGTTTTCGTTCTTTCTAGGATACCTAGCCAATGGAAGAGATGATATTTTAATTATTGTGTGTCGAGTTGATTCGTCGTTATGAGAGTTTTGCCTATATTATCTCATAAACACAAAACAAACAACATTTAAGAGACATTTTTTTCTTTATTGTTATGTAATCGTTTTGCTTTGTATTGATCATAATTTCGATATGGATCATAATCAGCGCAATCTATAAAAGATATGTTTCTCATTTGGACGAGCAGAAAAAGTTATTTACTAGTCAATGAACTAATCCTTTTCGAGAATTGTTGACTGGAAAGTAATTATTCATTCGATGGTGACAGAGAAAACAATGAATTTACCTTTGAGAGTCGTCCTTGTTCCGATGATCATGAGATTTTTGTGTATTTACTTTTTCATGGAACTCATCAGAAGTATGCTAAATAAGAATATTAACGAATTTCATACAGAATTGACATGAGCGTTCAATAAGACAACGTAGGGAATTACCTTTATTATTGAAGGAGTAGTATGACAAGTTGAATTTGTTTTTCCTGGAAGTGATGCATCTTTTGGAGTTTGATTAGAGTGAGATATTCGAGAATTTTTCTGATCCTGCTGTCTAATTTGATACGATTGAACGTCGTCGTTGAGGTTCATCCTCTGGTATTGTTCCATTTGATTTGGCGTCATCGGTAAACTAGGCGATCGTGTATCGGCGATAGTAGTCTGTGCATTCTGATAAGAACATTTTCGAACATTCAAATAAAAAAAGAAGATACAATCCCATACAATCTCAGTGTTATCTGATAGATTGTTCATCAAGTGTCTAAGTTCATTTTTGAATGAATCCATTTGTTTTACATCCTAAAAACTTATGCTCTGCATTGCTCGTTTCTGTTTGAATTAAATTTACATTTCCGGTTTCTTTTAAATGACTTTGAATAGATTTAAATATTTGATCCATTGTATTTCCTTGCATCATCTAATCAGACAAAATATTTACCCATCTATTGTTTTTTGCTTTACTTTTCCTGCTCGTGCTAAAAGACGATTTTTAACTTGTTCCAAAGTACAAATGATTTCTTTCACACATTGATCAGGCATCTATAAATTAGCTTTTCAATTGAATGGGAATTACTACAGCGAAAAATCATACATCACCACTGGCTGCTCGCGCAGAAATTATATTTCTATATTGATTAAATACTTCATTAATGCCTTGCTCATCGGTTTCGCCAATATTCCGTTTCTACATGTTCGAATAGGAATAATTTTTATTCTATAGATCCTCTTACAACAGATCGATAGTCAAAAAATATCTTTTCTGACACAGTTGCTATTAGTAGATCTTGATTAATACTCGGCTATGAATATCGTATCAATTCAATAATTCAAGTAATCATTAAAAATAAATTACGGTATAAGCGATGGTACGTTCAACCAGTTTCAATACAATTGATCGCCATTTATCAATCAAATGATTTTAAAAACAAATTCTTTATTGAAAAAAGAAACAATTGTTTTACTTCATCTAGATCTATTAGATCACGAATTTGTGTGAGAACTTTCTCGGTAGTATCCGATAGAAATTGGTTGCCAAGATTTATATACGTTTGATTCCATGATAAAGCAGCCTTAAAACATATGTGCAATCGATAGTTTATATCGAACGATGAAGCTTTACCGCAAGAAATGGTACACTAAAACAAACAAGCAACCGTATACGATGAAATGCACCAAGACTCTTGTGAAAACGAGAGCATCCTATTTATTGAACAAATTCGAAAGAGGTCAATGTCTATAGTTGAATGCAAGATATCATAGTTAATGAATTTTCGAAGATTAGGATTTGAAGAAAAAATGCACCTCAGTGACTGTAACAAGAATTAATGTTATAAGTTGTTTTTCTCATTCTTTCCCAAGCATATCCTGAGTTTATTTTGGACAAATGTAGCACTTTCTCTCTTAATGAGATTTCTGAGTTTTGAATTTGTATTGTTTTCCATAGGCATGATATAATGTGGATCATGCAATTTCCAGTTACGCAGATTACGTCATCTTAGGATAATCTGATGTTCACATTCAGCAAGTAGTATCATTAGTAGAATATTTCCTTTAGCGTTTTTTTAATACAAAATTCATATTCTTACCAATCTGTTGGGATACACCAAACTTGATTGTCATCATTCATTAGTTTTTCTTTCAGATATTAGAAATTAAATCAATTTTTTCATAAATAAATCGGCGCTTTTACTAAAATATGCTTAGACAAGATTCTATTATATAAAAAGATAGAATGGATCATATATAATAATCCTTGTTCTGGATTTTGATCGTTTGTATTTGGATCAATAGATTGATTAATATATTTCTGTGATTTTCTTATACTTCGTTTTGAAGAAAAACCAAATTCATTATTATAATTATGATTATGAATATTTCTATGTAGAATTCCATTGACCGAATAAACGGCAAAACTTATTTGCTACATCTAATTTCTATGTTGGATAAAGTTCTGAATTTATTGAGTATACTTAATATTATATTTGATATACGACGAAATAATTTCGGTAAACTCAACTTTGGTCGACAGTAAAAATGGCGACAGTTAAAAATATCGAAAGTGCAAAATGTCGAAAGAAATTTATAAAAATAAAATTAAAAAATCAAAAAGAAGGAGTGTTTTGAAAGATATTCGATGAATATGTTATTATTGTAGGCAATGGCGGATCTACCAGTTAGGCTACCCGGCCATCGCCACCCCCCCTTAAGAAACTTTTTCGATTTTCTCCAGCAGAAATGAAACAGAAAAAAGTCGTTCTGTCTCAACTAGACTTGAAAAACCGTTTTTTGGTCACGAGCGCCACCCCCTAACAGATTTTCTGGATCCGTCACTACTTGTAGGATCGATGGCGACTTATGTTCGTTTAAATCTATCATTGGTCTATCAGACATTGGTCACTTAGTACAATGTAATAGAAAAGAATAAGAAAATTATTCTTCAATTATTCATTATTCGAGTGATAAATATACATATGGAAGCCGCCACGGAATCGACACGCAACATCAACAGTGATTAAAATTGCATTACTTCGAATAAGGGACAACCTCTTTTAATAATGAATCAATTCTGAACACGACATTTTTCATGAATACCTACTCAGTTTTCGATATTTTTACTTTTTCGTTTTTTCGACATTTTACTGTCGACATTTTCACTGTCGACCAAAGTTCACAGATTCATAATTTCATTCGTATTTCTTCACAATAAAGTCCTTTTTCCTAAAACTATACAGATGTGTTACTTCAAATGGATGTACACTTCGATATATCATAGAAAGAGATAATACGCAAACAATTGTTTATTTTTTTCAAAAATAAGTCGAGTCCTCTGGTGCAATTCGACTCAACAGTTTGAAAATTGTTTTTATTTTCGTTCCTTTTCAGTCATTATGTTGTACAAAAACGTAGTGTGACGCTTATCCGAATTATCCCACATGAGACAAGTCAGATCATTCTATCAATTTAGGTGAATATATTGAATGCATTTAAATAAAAACGTGCGCTCTTACAGGTGCCGCTTCCATCTTTGATCAAAATATCCCAACCTCGGAAAGACTTTAGAAGATAAAAAAATTCATTTTTTCACACACATAAATGTTTTGAGGACGTGGTTGTGTAAGATTTTAGGTTGCCAGAATGCAGAGAACTCAAATGACGTTCGCTCAAACTTTGAAATATGAAAATTCCAACAGATTATTTGCTCAGGAATATTCATGAAGATGAATCACACGTATAGAATAAGTCATAATATGAAGTGTCATTTGATGTCAATGAAGAATCTTCGAGCTAACTTTCTCATCATCAGAGAAGGCTTTATCTTAGCATGTTTTGGCGTAAACTGGTGAGACCAACGACACAGATCAAGTGAATTCCTATAGATCAATACTACAGTAAAGAAAATGATCGAGTATATTGAATCATCTGTAACTATATTATGATGCCATGGAATCATGTTTTCATGGCTGCTTGTTATTGTCGTGGATTTTATTTACAGTGTCACTACGAGCGAAAATTTACTGAATAATATGACTTCCTCGATATTGAACTAAAATGTATGGAGAAATCGCTCATATGAGTGACACTTGACTGTAGAGTCGACTTAATTAAAAACAAATGCAACTGTATGAATCATATTATTCTATATTTTAGAACCGCTGTAAACAATAGCACCAGTTACAGTTATATGATTAAACACTCTATAGGAAGTAACCAAAGCTATGCTCGTTTATTATCACGTAGCATACAAAAAATCCAAAGAGAGAAAAAATTATGAAGATAGTGCACTGCAGTCGTCCGTCAGAGTGCTGAAATTTAATTTGCTAAAAGACATTGAAGTAAAAAATAAAGATAAATTCAAAACAAGAGCGTTGCCAATTACACTAGCTTCTTACAGATATTGCTTGAATTAATACAAGTTCCTTCGTTGACCACTAACTAATATTATCAACAGCAATGACGAGTAATAGATGCATTATCAAAAGCGGTTGTAAACTACTTACAACAAAACTCACGTGAAACCAGTTTTTTTTTCTATTTACTCATGCTATTAACTGTCGAAGAAACTCAGTTTTGCATGTGTCACTGATAAGCGCATTCTTTGTCGGCTAAAAGATAGCCAAAAGTTTTACCCAGCAAGAATAAATTTCTTTATTTAAAGACTGAATTTTTTTATTATTTATTACAACCCAGCAACTGCCTACCGCCGTAATCGAGACAACAAAAAACAGCAATGCATTTGTCTATCTTATTAAGTATCACTTTACTAATGAGTATTTCCACCGTATGTCTAGTAAGCTTGTATTATCGTGAAATATTATGACTTTTGAAACATTCTTCTTTCAATATAATTAGGCTGTCAATGTGATCTCATGTCATAGACCAGGTCCCGTTCGAAAGTGTGCGTCTACGAATTGTAGTATAATTCGCTATGTCAAATACAATGAGAGTTTTCCAAGTACCTGTTACATTAAAGAGAATGGCACACGGAAAAATTCTAAATGGTATCGCATCATGTCATCCCATGGAACTTACGGCTACATAAATAGCAAATATTGTTTCGGTAACGTCAAATTGTGCCGCGCTGCGATCTGGAATCGAAGCTTTAGTGATTCACCTTTTCAAATTCTCTTTTTTTTATAACATTTATGCAACGCAGTCTCTCTTAAGTGAACACCATTGGGAATTTTGAAAAGTGTTCACTGGTGCGAGATGTCAAATATTTTACTCAAAATGAAACCAAGTTTCAGAAAATGAACTTCCTTATTGGTTCGGAAGGAATTAGAACCCTTTTTTCTTTTACACATCTTCTTTCATTTAAATCAAAAACCTTTTAAACCAGAAAAAAAAACGCTGAGCTCTATTCTAAAAGTTTTCCATTGTTATTTTTCTTTGCTTTTCACATTAATACAAACAAAAATTGTGCATTTTTTCAAACTGTTATAACCGCTCAAGTGATATCAAATGGCTCCTGATGTTGCTTGATTCCTTAAACGTTGATGAACAAGCTATTCATCAATTTGTTTTAGTATTTTAATTCAGATATGTTTCATTACCTGTTAACGCTTTTACTTTTTCGTTTTAATGTATTCGACTCAGAAAAAGTGCAATATTGTATTTTTCAGTGTTTTTTTATGTTTTCAATAAATCATCATTATAACTGTTATCAATACTTAATTAAACGTTTTTGCATCATGCAAAATGACATCAAGAAGACATTGTTGGTCTAATATGTGCAGTTGAAAAATAACAATAAATAGCCAATTTTAGTGAATCAGTTGGATATGGTGAAGTGAAAAGAGATTACAATAGTAATCGGGGCTGTAAAATAGTGTTCACTAATAGAGGTTTAACTATCTATGAAATTATTTTAGTAAATTCAGATTATTTATTCTGATACTTGTATATACCAGCGATGTGTCATTTATTGAGTTATTACTTAACTTCTTCTGTTCATTTGCAAATGAATTATTCCTCCATCGAATTAGAGCTTGCAAGGTGCAATATTTACTGAACCTTCAACGAACCCGATCGAATTTTATTTTAATACTCACAATAAAATTCTCTAATCGAAAACGGATAGGCGCTCCAAAGATATAACATAACTTTTTCCGGTTGGTTGCATTCGATGGCCGGCTCATTCCGTCCATGAATAGATCCACTACGTTTTGGAGTCGAATTCAATTAGCAACAATCCGTCGAATTCCGCAAATCGAAGTTGGGCAGTAACTAAACAATAGTTTTCAATGAAAACGCTATCCCAGGGTTGAGACATAGTCTATCAAATACTATCAGGGTACTTCAAACAACAGTTTTCAAGCCAATTCGTTCAAATGCAAAATCAAATAAAAAAACTTGTAAGAAAATCAGAGAAACACTAGATAATAGACCATGTTTACCGTATAGATCGAATCGTTCACTTCTGTACGAGATATTAGTGAAATTAAAAGAGGCAAAAATCTGCTCAAGTAGATAATATTTCCAGCTTTATATTGCCAAAGTCATCACTAGCTTTACCTAGAAAGCTTGGTTAAATATTTTAACGACTGCATTCATAATCATCCAGATATAGAACAATGTAAAACAAGTATTCCTACTTCTGAACACACTCGACTAATATCTCTTCTTGCCACTCCTTCGAAAATTTATGAAAGCATGCTGATGGATTGAGTCAAAAGATGGATCGGCTTTAATAAACTAGTATCAACAGAGCAATTCAATTTTCACAAAGGTTGTTTACTGCAGACTAGAGTTGTGTCAATAAAACAAAATATAAAATATCACCTAGCAGGTGACGTACCCATCTAAGGTATATACGTCGAGTTCATAAAAACATTTGAGTTTATGTGATACATGGGTCTTATAGTCAAATTAGCTAGAATGCAAAAACTATAGAACTACTGAAATTTCTAACTGATTGGCTAGCAAATAGAGACGCATACATATCCTTGTTCTTAAAGACACGTGTAGATTTCCCACAAGGAAGCTTGGTATGTGTATACATTTTTATAATTTACTATGCAGATATTGTAAATCCTGTTGGCAGTTATCAATACATCAGGGACTCAAATATCTAAAAATCGATTTGAATAATAGAATAGATTGAAACAACTGGAAGTAGAAATTAAAGCGGCTTCGACAGAGCAAAAATATATTTACACAGATACTTAGGATTTGTTTCTACGCTTATTCTTTCCATTGCCCATTAGAACCTCTGACAAATCAAGAGCTCATTTGCAGAAAGTCCAGAGTTGGGCTTCGACCAATATATACGTAGTGAAACACGTGCAGAAATCACTAGCAACAATACATACTGTACCAATTTAGGTCTTTTACCCTTTTACGATGATATGTTTTTGCGGTGGAACTACCTCTTAGAGAGAATACAAGATGAAAGAATGACATGACTCACCTAAATACACGTCTAGTGATGACGTTTGTAATACTAGTATACCTTAGATTTAATTAAATGGCCATTTGTTCGCCTATCTTCTTTCTCATTCTCTTTTTCTCTGTTCTCGCACGACTTTTATGGTCTATTCGATATATAAACACACATACAAGCAATAAGAATGAGTGAACTTTTTGATTGTGCAAGTAAACTATTTTGTTTCACATACTATTAAAGCAGGACAGGAATAAAATGAATACTGTACCATCTTCCTATCAACTAGGTTAAATACAATGCTACTCGCTGAAAATCATAATTATGCGTCGTTTCCATTGCAATATGTCACGTCATATTATAATAGGAAAAAGAAACTCATACTGACCAGATCACGTATAAACTGAACACTATGGAAGTAATAATGCAATTGTCAATAGTTAGTAAAATGCGTGTCAAATCTATCATTTGAGTTTGATGTTATCATAGCATTAATAATGCGAAGTCTTCTGCACGTAATATGCTTTTTCTATGCATTTATTGAATTGCAATCGATTTTATACGATACAAATCCTTTTCAATTTGATTGTTTGCATCACTTTTCAAATGGTTCATATGTTTCCGGTATCATCAAATATTGTATTCGTCCAGTCGATGATCAGAATTCGAAGATGATTAATTTTTCCGATGTGAATCATCCAAATTTGACTTTCAGCGAATTATACCGTTTGAATGTCACTTCACATGAAGTTCTTCTATGGTCATCTTCGATCGATCTTGCTGAACGATATCAGTATTATATCGATCAACCGACTAAATATAATCGATTCAATGAGCAATTTTTCAATTGTACATCACCTTGGTTTGGCTCTCATTGTCAATATTCATTCGAACTAGTATCGCATGTTACCGAAACGCCAGTAAATGCACAGTCGAAATCTCATATGGCTAATGCTATCACTCGTCAAACATGCTACATTTTGTTAGAATGCGATCGTGGTCTTGCATCCATGTGTCTCGATTGGCGTGAAGTATGCGATGGTCGAATTGATTGTTTGAATGGTGGTGTTGATGAAAGTCAATGTATCGAATTAGAATTAAATGAGTGTAATGAAAATGAATATCAATGTCATAATGGATTATGCATTCCGAAAAAGTTTTGGAACGACGAATTTGATGAGGCCGAATGTCTTGATAAATCGGATTTATTGATTATGCCCGACTGTCCGAATATATATCTTCAACTTTATATTTTCGCCTGCGCAGAATATGCATGTCGACCCGATGAAGGTCGATTTCCGTGCGGCGATGGACAATGCGTAGAAGACTTTGGTGAATGTCACAATGGACGCCATCTCCTGTTGACTGAATCACTCAGTGTTCAAGGCAATCTGCCATATGATTGCTGGATAACTATGGTTTGTCTCAGTAAAATCACCGATCAAGTCAATGGAGTATCATGCGAACAGTTCGTTAATCTTTCTCAAATTCTACCTGGACTAGAAACTTGTGAATATCCTATTCAATTTCCAACTATTCCTGTGCTCTTAGGGCATGTACGCTTTTTATATCATCCGAAACAGATTTTTAATATAAACTTAAAATTAGCTCTAGTACCCGATTATGTTTGTTATGATGCGAAACTATGCGATTACCTTACGTCTACATTTCATCATGGAAATTTGACTTGTCGATATGGTTATGAAATGAATCTTGGATCCGATGTCAAGGTTAGCGATTGGAAATCGATTATTGATTTAGTCAAACCTCATTTTCACGGCTGTATTACTCAGCATTATCATGACCTTGATACACATGCTTCATCGTTATACGCGTGCAAGAATTCTTCGAAATATATTTCGAAAAGTCGACTCCTTGACGGTATATCAGATTGTTTTTTGAACGATGATGAACAAGTATTTGAATGGAGTTGTTCATTGAATCATCCATACCGATTTCAATGCTTAAATGATAATCATTGTCAATCGATTTTATTGCTAAGAAACATCTGCCACCAATCTGAAAGACAAAACAATTTTGATCAGATCTTATTTTATGAAATTTGTGATCGAGCTACCGATCTGTCTCCAATGATTATCGATGGAAAAAATCATTCGGATGAGACTGATTGTGAATTATGGCAATGTGACAATGTCTACACACGGTGTAATGGATTTTGGAGTTGCCCATATGGAGATGACGAAGAAAACTGTACCCGTCCGATTTGTCCTAAACGTTTTCTTCCTTGTATTTCACTACATAATTCTACGTTGATTTGTTTACCAGCCAATCAAGTCGGTAATGGAATCGTCGATTGTTTCGGAGCATCCGACGAACTTGAATATTGTCGGCAGAGCTCTGAAAACGAACAAACTTATAGATTTTATTGTCAAAGTGACAAGAAATGTGTTGACCACAAGACACTATGCGATGGTAATGAAGATTGCCTATTGGGGGATGACGAAACTTTTTGTAAAGATCGTCCAGGACTATGTGACGAATCGAATTTCGATAATCTTACCGATTTAGAATATGTCTTATGTCAAATTGGTTCTGTGGGCACACATTCTTTTTCATTAAAAACTGCATCAATCAGTCCGCCATTACCAACTATTCGCAATAGTTCTGTCCATATTCACTTTCTTGAACAACACATCACATTTTCACTTGAGAATTTTGCACGATCTGAGATATGTAATTTTGGTCTTCACGTTTACCATCGGCTTGGATCTGGTAATATTAGTAATATATGTTTTTGTCCACCGATCTATTACGGTGATCGGTGTCAATATCAAAATCAACGTGTTAGTTTGACTATCACACTGGGATTTGTCCAGCACCAAACAATCTATGCAATTATTGCTACTCTAATTGAAGATGATGAAGATCAACAAGAAATTCACTCATATCATCAATTGACTCAAGTGCCGAAATTTAGATGCGAACAACCTTTCAATATTTATCTTTTGTATTCGGTCCGACCGAAGAACACTTCAAAAAAGTACCGTATCCACATTGATGTATTCGATAAGACTTCACTGATTTATCTAGCAAGTTGGTATTTAAAAATTCCATTTGCATTTTTGCCGGTCAATCGACTAGCCATTTTCTTGACGCTACCAGCTTATCGTACATTGCATTCTGGCATGTGCCCATTTCAATGTTACAAAGGTACTTGTATGAAATATTCTAATGAAGAACGTTTTTTTTGTCGATGCTTTTCCGGTTGGTCTGGTGCACAATGTCACACTCAGATCGATTGTAGCAATTGTTCATCGGATTCTATGTGCGTTGGTTTGATTCAAAATCGACCTATATGTGTATGTCCTGTCGGCAAATTTGGCACACGTTGTCTCCTTAAACAATCATGTCCAATCAACTTTTGCGAAAATAATGGTCAATGTGTAGTAATCGATGATAGACCAGTTGAAGACAGCTACATATGCATTTGCCCCGAAACATTTTTCGGTAGCCGATGTCAACAAATCAAATCGAAAATAGAAGTTTCCTTTCACAATATGGATGTTCCATCTTACCTATTTGCCTATATCTATTCTGAAATAAATTCTGGGCAACCAGAACCGATGTTTGTCATGCTTCAGAAAGTGAAGATGTTTCAAAATATTGTAAAGTTCTATCCTATGTATTTGTTTTATATAGTTATTCTAAAGATAGATGTTAGTTATTATTTGGCCGCTATTCAACAAACCGACAGGGCTGATATATCGACGATAATCAGTCCTGCCCAACGCTGCGTTCCGTTTTATGAACTGTTCAGTTCTGAATTACTCACATTACCACGGATTCATCGAATAAAACATTATCATGTTCCATGTCAAAATGATATTAATTTACAATGTTTTATCGACGAATCGTACATATGTCTATGTACTAGAGAACATCATAGTAACTGTTTTTTATTCAATTTTAATATGACTTTCATGTGTGAAGACGACGTCTATTGTGAAAACGATGGAATATGTTTGCAAGATCGGCCAAAATGTCCGGAAAGTATTCTATGTGTGTGTGCCGATTGTTTCTTTGGCGATCGTTGTCAATTTTATGCCAAAGGTATCGGATTGACATTGGAAGACATGTTCCGTTATGTAATTCGACCTAACTTAACGTTCAAGGATCAATCAATCATCGTGAAATTGAGTGCCGCTATCACTATGATCATATTTGTAGCTGGTCTATGGAATAGTCTCCTTGCCTATTTGGCATTTCATCAGCAGAAATCTCGCGAAGTTGGTTCTGGAATGTATCTTCATCTATCATCGATCGTTTCAAGTCTTGTGGTTATTATGTTGACTACTAAATTCTGGTTCGTGATATTTACTCATGCTCATCAATCGATTAATCGTCTTGTTCTTCATGGAGGATGTGTATTACTGGAAATAGCTCTTAAGCTTTTCTTAAATATGAGCAATTGGCTCAATGCTTGTGTAGCTATTGAACGAGTTATAGCAGTTTTTCAAGGAATTCATTTTAATAAACGACAGAGCCAATGTATTGCGCGATGGATACTTCGGTTTTTACCATTCGTCATTTTGGGTTCGTTGAGTCACGAGTTCATCTATCGTGGCTTGTTCGATGATTACGAGGAGCAACGTGTTTGGTGTGTATTTCGTTATTCTAAATCGGCTGAAAAATATAGTACAGTCATTCAACTTTTTCATTTTATTGCTCCATTTTTGATTAATCTGTTATCTGCTATTTTTATCATATACAGCATGGCACGTCAGCGAGCAATGTTTCAAACCCGACAGAGTTATAAACATCAACTTCTTAAGCAATTCAATGAACACAAACAACTTATTGTCAGTCCCATTGTTTTCGTCATTTTATCAGTTCCTCGACTTCTGATCTCATTATTTTCTGGATGTATCAAAGTATCTCGAAATCCCTGGTTGTATCTCTCAGGCTACTTTATTTCCTTTATTCCATCAGCTTTTATCTTTGCCATATTTGTTCTCCCATCGACGTTCTACAAGAAACAATTTCGAGAGTCGATCGTTCGTTGGCAACGACGATTTTTTCGTTCATAAATTTTTTCTTGGAATACATCTTGGATGACATGCATATTTCAATCAATAGAGTCAGCGTATATGTTATCTCTAAAGTTTGCCAAGAAGTCTAATTAATCTTATTTGTATTTTTCTGAATATTTAATTTTATCTTCTATGGCATGGATGTGGATGTCAGTATGTGTATCTATTATCTGTATCTACATCGACACCTAAACTCACCTCCAAATCCCATTAAACACTTTACTTAATACAACTCTAGTCGAATATATTCTCTAAAAAAAATCAAACGTAATATCATCACCGAAAAAAGTCTCAAAAGGCTTCAGTTGCATAATTTCGTGATAAGGCATGCTATTATTTTATTGAGAAAAATACTTTTTGAATTAAAAAACGAAATCAAATAGAAAGTCTCGTGCGCATTGAAATATTTCAAAAGATTAAACATAAAAAAGAAGTGCCATTCTTAAGATATTCTATTGACTCATTTTTATAAGTAAAGTTAAAAGAAAATTTTTGATCATTTTGCTTTCGACGATCTCTTCCTATTAACAAAAAAGTTTCCTTAATTTTCTTCGGAGATATATACGGTTGAGTCATCTGAAATTGAACAATATTGTGGGAAATAGTAGAAACTAACATATTTGGTTGAAATACACATTCCCGTCATTTATCGGTTAATAGAAAGCTAAGAATGGAAGGGTTTGTACTGTTTAATCGAATTGATTGATCTTGCGCGGATCAAATGATTGCTTTCACCGAGAGAAACTAACAATTGAAAGTATCAACTTCTTATGGTACACCTGGGCACAGCTTTGAATTTTTCAGTGGATTTTCTCTGTATGGCCCCACTCTCTCGCGGCGAAATCATATTTTCGAATTTCGATCTAAAACTTTGTAAACATAATGACCTCAACAAAAGTAGCTTACAGAAATAAAATTCAGAACTTTTGCACGCATTCTCTGCAAAACAAATTACGAATATTTCAAAATATATAACTTATATTCATAAGCGCTAATATCTTGAAGACTTCATACTTTGGAGAGAGATTGTGCAAAAGTCCTGAATTTTATTTCTGTAAGCTACTTTTGTTGAGGTCATTATGTTTACAAAGTTTTAGATCGAAATTTGAAAATATGATTTCGCCGCGAGAGAGTGGGGCCATACAGAGAAAATCCACTGAAAAATTCAAAGCTGTGCCCAGGTGTACCATAAGAAGTTGATACTTTCAATTGTTAGTTTCTCTCGGTGAAAGCGATCCTTTGTTCCCCGCAAGATCAATCAATTCGGTTATCAGTACAAAGTATTCTATTGAAAGAATGGTGTGCTGCGAAAATATAGGAAAACAATAATGTCTCCAATAAATGGTGATTTTAATCTCGCATGGTTCATTGCTGCTTTCTCATGCCTCTGTTAGGGTAGAATTTTAACCAGCAGTATGGTAATAATTAATGCGTGATGTAAATTAAATAATAGAGTTGAGTAAAATGGTATTATAAAACTAAACTTCTTTTATCATCGTTGACGTAGCTGAATATTCAACCGATACTACTAGGGTATTCGAGTAGGTATGAACATTGCCGTTCATAATACCCATACACTCAAGATGTGATACTTAGAATATTTTTATAGTACCTTTTAGCTTTGTATTAGCCGATAAATGAAAGGAATGCGTGTTTCAACCAAATGTATTAGTTTCTGCTTTTTTTCAAATTATCGTAATTTCGGCGGAATTTAGACAATTGTGGAAAATCGACAACATTGTCCAACGTTCAGTTAGACTTAGACAACAGTTGAAATTCAAGTGGAAATTGGACATTGTCCAATTTCAGATGTCCAAATTCCACTTTCCCATATATACACCCACACTCATTTTGTTGTGTATTATAGAGAGAACCAAATACGAACTATTTTTGTTGCCGATAAACTTATGGTCTTCTGCAAAATCTAATATCTACAAAGGTCGGAATCTTTCTGGGTTTCGTGTAGCACCTATGTTCGCATAGTATTGAAAAATGTCGTTGGGGCCATCGTTTCGTGATCTAGACTAATGCCAGAGGTTTCGACAATATAAAAATGCTTTTCGTTAATATTTTAACGTCATGTAGTAGGTTATCATCACGAAGATCAAAGAAAATGAGTTGTCTAGCTTCTGCGTTCTTGAGGTTGATAAATTGAATTTTCTTCACGTTAATTTCGCCACTTTCTGGTTCAATACATATATGAGCAATACATAGAGTCATGAGTACGCTAACTTTGAGGAGTCCACGAGAAATTTATTTTATCCCGTTTTACTAAACTATAGATATTGAACTCTCTATACACCTTTTAGTCCTTTTACTCGCTTTACAACCTTTACTTCTGTAATAGTAGTGCTAAAGACAAATAACTTCTGATAACGAAACAAGAAATCATAGTTTATGATTATCCTTTTTCAAGTTCAAATGGTTGACTCAGAATTAAAATTATAACGTTTACAATTAAAATGATGAAATAAAGATAGAAAATAAAATGTACAACTTTGTTCGAAAAAAAAGAATATAGTATAGTCAAGCAACGTTTTAACCACGAATTCGCTTGTTCATATCACACAGTGTTTATATCTGAAGAAATCTGCTATCTTTCGAATATACGTCACCCTTAATAGGGAGTAAAGGGTGTGGTAACTTATATATAGAAGAGTAAAACGGGATAAAATTAATTTCTCGTGGAACTATGAATCTAGAAGAATTTTTATAGAAGGCTTAACAGCAGTGTTACCAATACTATTCTGGAAAGTTCGTGAAATACGCTTATCGTTCACTGTTGAATATGTTTTCGAGGGCTTTTTCAATTTTTCTATCCACTTTTGTACTTCACCGTTCTTTTGGAACTTGTTAAACTCATCCAGTGCAAGAACTTTCTCATAAAATTCTAATGCATTCTCTTTATCGGAAATTTTTTCATAAGTATTTCCAGTATCATAGAGACAATCAACAGATCCCTTTGTATTTTCGTAGTACAAAATTGTTTTAAGTATTGTTCGTAGACAGCTACCGATTTCGTAGGTATATACTGGCAATACTTAAATTCTTTAAATAAATAGGAAAAAGATGACTGCTTTGATTCCATAGAAGGAATAGAATGTCTTTGTGCGTTTCAACTGCTTTTCTCGAATAATATTTATTCTCACTGGAGCATTAATATAACGTTAGAAGTAGTGGTTGATTACGTGCTGCATTTGTTCCCCATTATTTTTGCGCAAATCGACCATCATTTATTCCAATTTATTTTATTGAATCTCACTTCATAGTCGGTGATCTCCTTCAAGACATTTAAAATATCCGCATCATGTTGTGAACTTTTTTCCTTTTGTAAGAATGTAATAAAATTCATATAACTACGAGGGTAACTTTTCTCTGTACGATTGATGAGCTCAAGCGTAATTGGCACCCGTGGATGATAAGGTTGAACTATCGTGTCGCCGACATTTTTCATACGAAAATGTGTTAGAAGAGAAAAGAGCACTTCTTGTTCATCTGGAATTTTTGGTAAGGATGAAATATTTGCAAACGTTTATGTAATATCTAATTGATTGCTTTGCTCTCTCTTGTACTCATCGGTTATAATAATCTCAAATAAACAAGGGATACATTCGTCTCGAGAAACTATAAAATCCATTGCAATTTTAGGACCGAGTGATGCAGAAAAAAAGCTACACCAACTTAATAATAGAATTTTTCGATTTACAAACCGAACGAAGATATTCCAGTTCATCGGCGTTCAAATATTGTCCTCGATACACCACACGCATTGTTTCTATTTTGGAATGATAGTACTCGTGCTAATTTTCATGTAATTCAGAATGTAGATCCGTAATGAATCGACTAAATGTTTTGATAATACCTATGTTTTGTGTACGTAAAGCATGATTGATAATGCGATAGAGAAAAGTATCTCGTGTATATGCATGAATTGCATTATAAGAGTTGTAAATTTGCGCGAAATCGTCGATTTGTTTGAGCATACAACGATTGCCCTTAAAGTAAATTCGACTTTCTTTGAGGATTTCACGATACGATTTTTCAATATATTGAGGTTGATGACTGATTGCTAGCAGAAATAAATGATACCATTCGGGGGTAATCGTTTTGGATTTTTGAAACGATTTGTCAGTAAAAGGCCATCGTCCACTGAGCTGTTTTATATCAGTGTGAAGTTGGATGAGTAGAATTGTTGGATTTGAAACAATACAACGTATCTTCTATTCTTTTCCAGTTCATATTACATTTTTATCTTTATCCATACAATATACATAAAGACAAGTAATCTGTGGTATAGTAGCGAATTTATGTGCATTTGCCGCTCCCAGTGTGCCCGAAATAATTAAAAAAATGTTTTTATCATACCAAGAATCAATGAATCGAAGACTTTCTTCAATGTCGTCAAACGTCTTCACGCGATCTTCACCACTAATCATCGAAATAGTGTTGAATAAATCGCCTTCGGTATGATTACCAACGATTATGATAATGTATTCGTTTAGATTATTTTCTATTTTTAGATTTAATGATTGTACAGCGTCCTCGGTGATATGACGAACGGAGTTGTGTTGTTCGGTTAATGCTTCTGCCATCAATTTTTCTCATAGGCTGTAAAAATATAAAAGTGAGAAACAATCTCGACTTCGATTAGATTTTTCTCAATGTCCATGCCAAAGTAAGTCAGATGCGACTCGATCATCTGCTAACATATATGCAACAGTTAGAAAAGTGGAATACTCATACGTGTACACTGCGAAAATGTAAAGACTATCTTCGAGTGTAACGATTTCTGATAAAAGGAACGTTAATGCCGATGGTTCTATACTTTATTCTAATCCGTTATATCATAAGACTTAAATGCTCAACCATTAGAGCGAATGGAAGAAAGGGCCAAGAGTAAGGGCCATGCTTAGGATAGAAGAATTTAGTGAAAGTGCGGTAGACATTCGTCATACAATGCACTCCAATGGGAGTACTATCGTTAAATCTTCTATTTATTATCTACTTACGTTCGATATTCTTTCTTAGTCACATGTTTTCAATAAAACAGTAATCATTGGATTCGATAACTTATCACCGAACCTTTGTTTCGTTTGAATATAAATACAAACTCGTTGATATCTAACGTCATATTAGCAATCGAAAAATCTGATAAACGAAATAATTTTGCAACAATAGATCATTATTTTTCAGATAGTATCTATTGATTCAACATACCTTCTGTTCTGCATTGCCTCATATTTTAGTACTTGACCTTACTTCAACTACTTTAGAGTTGGCAAGTACGATGTTCCCCTCCCGTATATTTTCAAATATTCAATAACTAGGTCTTGCTTTTTCTCATATTCTGTAATGAGGAGAGGGAGCCGCGAAAATCTCGCTTTTAAACTTTCACTTACATTTTGCTCCGAAAATACATATTCATTTCACAAAATAGAACTATCTTGAGGATGAGGGTTAAAATAATGATGAACGTGGAAGGATGAGTTCATCGAGAGTGATAGAAGTCTACTACATTGCATATCGAAACTTTTTCTATCAACTTCAGTAGCATATCAAATGAATGTTTGTCAAAAAGAACTTCACTAGTTAGATATTTTATTGAAATTGAGTGAAAATGTTTCGATTTGCAATGAATCAGACTTCTACTTGTAAGATCTTTTATGGATCGTGTATCCTGCAGCTCGGCCATCTTTATATGTTCTTTTGTCAGCATGTTTAGTTACAACTCTCTAACAGAAGATAGCGACAATGATCAAAAAAAGGGAAGAAACTATCTCATACGACGTATATATCCTAGCTTCGATTTTGTGCAAAATTGCAGCATCGACATTTTTTGAAAGTGTGGTAAACACTCGAATTTAGGTAGATTCAAAGGAGAATACAATCTGCTTTCGACTATTATTCTAATTATCATTATTATGTATCTTCAGAGTTAGTGACTCGATAGCTGATATTACATTAATACTACATTGGTTATGTTTGCATCAAATACAGGAATGGTCACCACCAATTCTATGGTGATGAATTTCTCTAGGTTCTAGTTTATAGAATGATACAGATGTTAGACGTTTGGGAATCTTGAAAAAATTTGCAGAGAAAGAAATGAATATTTCTCTATGTTAAAAAAATTCTATTTCATATAAACAAATAGATTTACACTAGTACAAGGAGTATGAGTGTGAGTCTGAGTGGGCGCATTATTTTCTAGCACTCATACCGTAGTTATAAGCTGCTGAATATTCTAGAATCGAAACCAAAAAAATGTTAAACCAATACATTCTAGCGTAATGAGTATGATAGATTTCATTAAAAGTTGTTAGTGCAACATCGATATTTAAAACCGATGCTTTTTTCGAATTTAGTAACAAATGAATTATTATTTTTTCATCCTTCATAAAAATCTGTATGTTATTTCAATCCGGCTGTATAAGGTAAAATAACTGATATTTGGCTCAACTGATAAGATGATTCAATCTGTTACTATCTTTCTTCAAAAAATCATTTTTCTAATTTTAGTCTACGAAATTTTTATTAATAACGTTTAAAAAGCTATGAAAACAAACAATTGATCAGTTAAAATTGATGGTAAATAAAAATTACTGCCAACGTGCTGAAAATAAGTCCCCAAGTCGATTTGGCCGATGCAATGCCCATGTTGCACTTATTTCTATCACAACAGCAGACCTCCGTCCATTGAAAATTTATGTACTTTCGAGAACAGCCTCTTTGTGAGCATTCACTCGAGCTAGCTGGTTTACGATAAAAAGGTCCACGTCCACCATTATCTGGACCCAATTTCTAAAACAAAATATAATTCCAAATTCATTGCGAATACTTTTTCTTGAAGGAAATAAATCAATGGAAGTTATTTTAGGGAAAGCTAGTGAATATAAATTTAATCATGTTCTATGCCAATTCATAATTATACAGTCAAAATGAAGTTTCCACGCGGTGATTTAACAAAATCATATTTTTTTTATCAATCCCACGTTTTGTTGGAGATAGAGATAGGCACGATCAAAGTTCTTTGGATCTGTCCCCATGTATATCCGACCTTAACATTTTCAGTTTATCGGTATCTGCCATGTAGATAGTACGTTTAGTTTTTTCCTGATCTCTATCCTATTCATTCATTTTCTTCAACTGTCAGGAGAGATGTGCAGCAGTAGGCTTTTTATGTTTTGGTCAAGTTATACTTTTTGGGTGTAACACATTTCATAGCCGAAAACATCGGTTCCAAGTTTAAAAATTGTGGGGTCAGAAACAAAAAATCCATATACTTTATTATGACTTTACGTACCACACAGAATCGACCGGATGTGGGAGTGATCCGTACATTTCGATCGTACGAATTAAATGGTTGAGGACACGGGTAACCCGGGTCACCGCAGTAGTAACAATCGATGATTTTAGGAGCAGGTGTTCGACTTGTAGCTGTCGGTGATGGCTTAACACTTGTTTTGGGAGATTGAGATGTCGAAGAAAGTTTGGGACTTGTTGGTGAAAATTTAGTAGTTGTCAGGGAAGGTCTTGGAGTTGTTGATAAAATCCTAGAGGTTGTTGGTGAAGGTTTTGGAGTTGTTCTTGGGGAAGATTTAGGAGTTGTTGGCAAAGGTTTTTGAGTTGTTGTTGCTGGTTTAGTAGTTGTTGGTGAAGGTTTTGGAGTTGTTGTTGGGGAAGATTTAGGAGTTGTTGGTAAAGGTTTTGGAGTTGTTGTTGCTGGTTTAGTAGTTGTTGGCAAAGGTTTTTGAGTTGTTGTTGCTGGTTTAGTGGTAATTCTTGAAGTTGAACCACTAGATGAGCCAGTTGACGACGCTCGAATGTTGTTTACCAAAATCTCAGCACTACAGATATAACCGGCAATTAAAAGAAGTAAAACGAGTGTTCGCATTGTAAGTTTTATCTGAAGAGTTTGTCAGTTATTTGATGGAAGATGTAGCGAAATAACTACGTAAATATATATATATTTTTGCTTATCTTGCACAACATTGACGATATTGGACTTGACTCAATTCAAATTGATAAAAAACAAAGATGAATGTTTATCTGCTTGTTGTATCAACAACCACATATTATATGATGATGCACATGCTATATTTCATTATTGAAATGTTGTCTTATTTGCTCCCTTGCATTTCAGCTCTAAAAGGTGATAAACTTGCCATTAATCATTAAACTGTATTCAACAGGAGAAATTAGTTTTTTGATTAAAAAAAAGACAAAAGCTTGCAAACTCTCATTGAGATTTTGGTACTGAGTAATAGCCACATTTTAAAGAGACACTTAGTCAGAATATGATCATTCTTTAGTATCACCCACCGAATAGAATATTAGTTATGAACCATACAATCCATAGTTAAATAGTCGGCATGTTACAAATATGTCATATTTAGCGAAATTCTCTCAATGTTGCCAGTGCGGTTCTTGTGGAATATCTTTAAATTGTTAAGAATGAGAAAACAACTAACAACGAATATGATTTATGTTACTTATGATAATATATGTATCATTTTAGTGATATTACTATATGCATGAAGATTACTGGACATATATATGTATCTTCTTATCGTTTCTTAGCAATTTTCTGTCGATTTCACTAAAACATTCACATTTATAAGCTGCATTTTTTGTAAAATTTTATTTTTAGCTTTATTTCGTAATTTGGTGTTATATTCTATCAAATGATCTAAAGATTTAAAGTGGTTACATAAAACCATATATTTTCAATGAATAGACATCTATTAGAAACTTAAGTCTTCTTGTTGTTTTGGATGCAGGTATGAGTGCGAATAAAAGCGTTAAGAATTAAACCACCCTCCAGTACACAAACGCCCGCTCACATTTTCTTCATGGTCACGTTGGATTGTTTGAAATAATACTGAATTTAAAACCATCTGAAGAGACATTTGAGAAAAGTCGAAACGCATCATTGTTTCTCTGTTACACAGCCGCACCCTAAGGATACATAGCCCTGATTGATGTTTTATTATTTTAATTCAAACACATCTAAATACTTTATTCTATTTTTGACTAGATCGGTTGCTGCAAAGAAAAGGTTGACACTAATAGATCGATTTGTCTTTTTGTTAAAAGACAGATTGGCCTATTTTTGAAAAGATTTAGGGTCTGTTAAACGAGCACCACACGTCATATTCTGCTTTATATCTAACTTATGTTCAATATACATTCTCACATTCACATTCTGAATACCGTTCCTTTGAACCAATACGCACACAAAATGCACAATTCAGATCATTTATTTGTTGGCCGATGGTACAAAAAAGAATTGATTATGCCTGATCAATGATTCAAATAAAAAGTTTCTTTTCACACGTTAGACGGGTCCTTTCCATCAAATAAAAACAATACCATTGGATTTTTGTTTAGCACATTGTATTGCCGCATTGTTTGCCACATATCATGTAGAGATTGTGACTTTCACAGTCTTGAGGAAAGTCAAAATATTCGCAGGTTTGATCATGGCAAATGTCTGAAATAAAAACAGATTAATGTGACTGTAAAATATTTCTATGGATTGCTGAAGATCGATAAGAGAATTTCTAAAAATTGAATAGTATTTGAAAATAGTATTTTAAACGGTATATACCATTCATTATTGGTGTTGTATTTGAATTGCATCTAAAAATCAAAGATGTTGCGAAAAACGGTATAGTATTCAAAATAATTTCAAATGGCACGTGAAACATACAATGGTGTATCACAAAACAGCCATAGTCCATCCTTTTCATTAACAGCAGTAAATGTTGTTTGTGGAGTCATAAAACCATGTTCTCAAGGAGGTATGTTCAGATTTCCGAAAAAGGAAATTACAGAAATTTCCGAAGCTTCCATCAACTCGATTACTACATAGCAAAGCAAATGAAAATGTTTTGAAAATATTTGAAAGTTTAGAAATTTCGGAATCTTCTGTAATTTCGGAAATTTCGCTTTGTACAGAATTTTGGAAATTTCAAAAATTTCGGAAATTGTATAATTTTGGGAAGTACCAAACAATTTAGAACACAAGTACTTGAAATTTCCAAAACTTCCAAAATTTCCTTTTTTGGAAGTCTGAACACTGCTGGAAAAAAGTTTATTTTCTGATGGTTCACCGAGTTGTTTATAAGGAGCTGTTCACGCAAAAGAAAACAGTGAATGAACAGACGCCACACAAAACGCGATAAATCTAGGGTACCCTGTAGAGCTTTCCTCAGTAAAATTACAGGTGCGGGTACTCATACAAGTACTGCTTCAGCGAAACATACTGCTATGGGTACCCAATGCAGTACCTACAACAGTCTGGTTACTGATAATTTTCTAATTACACTTAATAGATACCCTGGTGTGACTTTCTTAGTATGTGGGTACCCTGAACCCAGTACATTCCCTAGGGATACTTTAGCCCCAAAGAAACTGCATTAGTAAGCTTTTTCAAAAACGAGGCCCATATTGTCGTCTAATCGATTGAAAAGGGTTCAACAAACTGCATGATCTTTTCTGTATGTTTTATATAAATATTATATTACTATTACAAGAACAGAGAACAGTGTCTCGATTTAAGCAATTATTTTAGATAATGAACCAGCGTGTGTGCCATCTCGAATTAATAATAAATGTATTTGATCAAAACAAAATACTTCATGTGCGTAAAAGCCGATATATAACAATATATCTATATGGGTATATTGTAGTGTGAAAATACTTGCTACAAACAAAGCTACCATAAAATAATAAGTATCCTTATTCTTTTCTATTTTAATTAACTATTTCATCAGAGAGTTTATCAAGGGTCCTTAATTCAATATATGAAACAATCTGAATAAAACAAATATAAATTCTTTAGATCTCAGCCATATATCGTATAAAAGCTGAAAACTGCAATAAATTGAAAATTCTCACTGAGAAAGAGAATGATTTAAATTACTTTAAATCATTTAAACTCATTTTAAATCAGTTGAAATCACTTTAAATCATTTAAACTCACTTTAAATCAGCTTAAATCACTTTAAATCAGCTTAAATCACTTTAAATCAGCTTAAATCAGCAAAATCAGTTTAACTCATTTTAAATCACCGAAATCAGGTAAACTCATTTTAAATCACAAAATCACAAATCGCTGTTTCCCCCTTGGCAAAATCGAACCCTAATACAATCTCCCCAGACGACTCGCCATGGACTTTCTGAGGATTCTTCTAAGGAGAGCGAGCTAGAGGATGAATTTTGGTACCTCACTAGTAGACGATCTTAACTTCGATCTGCCCAGATTCTTATTTTACTGATCAATGAGACAAGATTCTTCGCGGGAGGAAAGAAACAAAATTCTTGTCTGAATCTCAAAAAAACTTGTCACTCTTACTGGATTCGTATTCTTCAGATGAATCAGGGAAGTTTCTGTTTATCTGGAACTGCATACAAGAATCTTTTTAATTTCCTCTCGACAGCGTTCTTGCCTGAATACTATCACTAAAAAGCATCTTGTCTGAAAAAGAAGAATCTGAACAGATCGAAGTCAAGATCGTCGACTAGTGAAAACAAATAAACGGGAGAAGTCTGATGACGAATTCACGTATATTATATTATTTTTTCTTTCTTGTCTATTCTTGCACTACCGTACATCTCCGAAAACAGTGACACCGAGCCAGGGGAAGGTGGCGAACACTCTGCTTTTTTACTCTAATCGGATCCATACAACATTATGCTATTCCTGACTATTGAGATATATTACAGCTGAATAACAATCGTCAAAAATAGTTGGAAATATGACATTGATAACAGATGCATAAACCAAGGTCGTGACAATACGACCGGAAATACTTCCGATGGGTTTCGGTTAACTTTCAGCAATTTCACTTGTTTTCCTGCGAGATACGATGATTTTTCTGCAGCTTTCAAGCCGGTTTCTACAGTATTCGATGGTCGTAACGGTCGATCTGGGACTCCTACTTTTATTCTATGTTGATGTTATGATACAAAAGAAAGTTCCAGGAAAGTCATCATTCACTTATATTTCATAAAACGAGGAATCTGAGAAATTGCTCAATGATAATGTTGACTATTATGCAACTGAAATAAATCATTCAAATATTGACAAAAACAAATAAATTACAATCGATTTCTCGCCTAATGGAAAGGCATGTAACATATATTAAATTCCATTGGTTCATAAAACAAAAATCATGCCTAAGTTTTCATTTTATAGATTTGGATGCAATAAAATCACTCTCTAATACCTTCGATGGTTAATCTTCAGAAAGATTTGATAAGTTAAGTGTTGCCATTGGCAATTTAGAAAAAATATTGCACGATTAAATCAAAAGTAAATCTCAAAAGTTTGAACAGCTACCACACAAACTGGATGACATATTCGAGTGAAACGTGGTATCAATAATTATGAATCGTCTATATGCGGACCATGCATTACATGCTCCATATTTACGATGGAACCGTATTTTTTCTGCGAACCATTCAACAGAAGGCAAAGTATTTTTCGATATTTTCGCAAATTTATGGCTGAAGTAATACAAGCTTATCTTAATATCGCTTCAACCTAAAGAAATCGAATTCGATATTTTAGGATTTGCATTTGAACCGCGTTCCAGTCCAAGATGCACCATTCAATCTCCAAATATTATACCACTTACTTCACCATCATCGCTCACAAATATCAAACCATTCGACGGAAATACTATAATATGCGGTGAAGTAGTAACTTCAAATTTAACCTTCAATCAATCTGAATTGGAGAAACTAGAAATGGTAGAGCACTTTACTTCCGTTTCTCTAACGTTGGATTACAGGCTTCACAAAAAATTTAACTCTATTCTAGGAATGTTTTAATCCAAAACGATGAAACAACGCAAGCAACAGTGGGTTTGCTTCGTAAGCTTACAATTCGAAAGAGTCACAGCGTTCCTTCTTAAATATCATCAACATATTGAACTACAACATCTTATCATCGTATTTTGTGGGCAATTTAACCAGTCACATTGCAATTTATCACCCGATGCCATTTTTAACCTAGTCTTTCAATCAACCTTCTCATCAAAGGTTCTATTACTGCGAAAGGTATATCAATGCGAAAAAAAATAGTATTTTAACAACATTATATTTTATTTCTTCAAATCTAAGTTAAAGCTCTTTTTTGCACAAAATAAGAAACTTATAATTCGAATAAATAGATTGACACAAATAATACTCTCAAAGTAGAACTCAACTGCGCACTAATAGCAAAATACACCACACATAAACTAAAGAAACCATTGAATTCTGCGATATTCTCCATAAACTGAGCAACATTTTCTTCTATAATATTTAAACTCTATGACATATCTATTTCCATATTGAATATGATGAATGATGAACAAGCTATGTGTTTTGAATTCAGAAATGACGGGAAAGTGGCAGACATAAATTCAGTTTTAGCTCTACTTTTGCATTTACTTTAAAATGACTAAAGCTCAACAATACGGACGGCAAAAGTATGGGTCTCTGTATTGGTGAGATGAGGACAAGATGTGGTCAATGAGAGTATATACCTATTAGTGATATGCCTGAGTGCTTGGTTTTTATATGAAACCTAATCTAAAACCTTAAAATATTCCTAGAACTATCTGGTAGCTTTTCTTTTTCGAATGCCCGTTTATATTTGAATTCGAAATAGGCAACTACTCATATCAACATAATAATGAATTTTTGGTTTTGTTTCGATGGTTCAGGCGAACATTTCAAAGTTATGTTTGTATATTACATTGATATCGTTTGCTGATCTAATATTTTGGTTTTGTCGATAGTTCTCACGAACACTTTGCTTCACTGACTTAATCAAGATTGAGATAAAGAGATATTTCCATTGAAGAATTTCTTGTCATGTCGCACGATGTATATATGAATGACTTTTTAACATTAAAAAGAAAGATTCCAATTTCTACTTTTTGAATTTCTTGTATAGTATATTTGTGACCCATCGAGTTCACGTGAACTCCTGAATTTTTCTGCTGGAACATCAAAAAAACTGCTTTTGAATAATAATCTGAAAACTTCAACTTTTCGATATCTGACAGATATTATAAGTTAAGATCTATTGATATCCGCATGAATACAGTAATAACCATGACATATATGCCTCTATATGAAAAAAGCAGAAACGGCAAGTTTTTAACATTGCAGTGTGTGAAAAAATGAACTAAGAGCGAGATCTACAACGTTTACACAAAATAGACCTACCAGGAACTATGTTGGAACACAGTTTGTAGTCGAGTTCGGAAAATGAGGCAAACGAGGTTTAGTACAGAAATAAAGAAGAATAACTGAACTTGTTTATACCAGTAATGCATTTTGATAGCACATATAATAAGCATTATATTGATATCAATATAGCAGTCCGATGTTGTTTCAAACTAACAGATCACAAAAGAAATACGTTCCTAAGCTTTGCCTGCATTAGGATCGAATAGTTGTTTGAACAAGATTATAAATAAATAAGCTATTCCTGTTTTCTACGAAATCAAAATACGCTCTGCATGATAAATGTTTTACATATTATCAAACCATTTTCTCAATATAGTTCACAACTAATATTCTTCTAACTGAATAAAAAAATGAATGAAACTGTCAATTTTATTAAATGTTATCGTGAGTAATAACAACATGTCTTTTTATATTGTTGAACAATTTAAAGAATACCGTCAAGTACAGAAATGAAATATAAAAATGAGAAAATAGAAAATATTCATCATTTTTTTATATCACCAAAAACTTCTCTTTCTAATTGTTTGATTTTATCGGTTTTCACCAGAATAAAAAAGATGAGAAGAACAAATTGACTGAAGACAAATACATACAGTAGAAAAATTCAAAACAAAAAGAATCGATTATTTAATATCCTCTTTGAATACAATAATTGATGATTGTTCATCTTCGACTAGATTCAATGGTGATTGGATAAAATAATTTGAAGATTCACATGAAAATGACGACGATGATACTTGTTGTGTTTTAAAGATAATTTTATCACTATCGGATGGTGTCACAGAACCAATTGGTCGAGAAACTAAAGGCATCACAACGTGATTTGTGACTGGACTAAAATAGAAATGAATCGTTATTTCTATTTATTGAAGTTAATATATGTAACTGACCAGAGTTTACTTAATGGAATGATAGATTTACCAAAGTTAAGTTTAGAAGTTGATGAAGATACAACAACAAGAACATCTTTATTTTTCTTCATTTTCTTTTTATGATTTGATTTTGTTACTCGTTGTTTTTTCATTTTTGGTTTCCAATCATCTTCATCATCATCATCGAATTCGTCAAAATATTTTTCAGTTTCGTTTGCTAGAGAATTATGAATTTGATTTGAACTAATCAGTGTCATAGAACTTGACGTTGAATCTAAAAGAAAAATATTTCAAAGTAGAAATGAATATTAACTGGTTAAATATTAGCTATGAAATAGAGACAATATTCCAGTGCTTTGTTCTATTTTGATATAATAAATTTTTCTTATTCATTGAGTAAAACTTAGGCCGTTCTATTTCATATTTATATTTAATAATATTTTCAATATACCTTTTTCGTGTAAAATGTATTTATTTTCAAACCGATAGATTATTCTTTTTTTTGTGCAGTTTATATTTATAAGGTTGATCAGTAAATATAAAATAAGTAACCAAAGGAATTCTGACTAATTTAGATTATAGAATTCTTAAAGTAGACTTCTTCTTTTCAATATTCATTGAAGTAATTGTATCGTTCATTAATAATATTCATTCGAGCACTTTCGTTGTAGGTTAATAATTATTTATTAGTCAAAAAATAAAGAAAATGATATTGTGAATTCTTCATGTCGATCAAAAATAATATTATTATACATTGTTCGCAAAAACAATCAGTTTCAAAACTTGAGAAAAACAGATACTTATATACAGATATAAATAAAGGATTTCTCTATTTCTAATCTACTGATTATCTTATTATCGTTTCAAGACTTCTTCGAATTGTAGTAAAATTCACTAGTGAATATAAGCCATTCATTATAGAAAGATTTTAATAAATGAAAGCAAACTGAAAAAACTCATTCTATAATGCAAATGTTGATCCATTGCTGATATATATATATATATCATTTTCTTATTTTCTAGCTCGCTTAATAATCATATCTTTGAGTAAGATGTTTCCACTGATGAATTGGAGTAAACAGTATATTATTTTGTAGTTAATTGCACTGTCTTCACATATAAATGTCAAACTTATTTAACGTGAATAACAAATGATAATGATGAATAGAATTATAAACTAAATCTGAATTGTTTTATTCTTACATGATCACTAAGCTAACATCCATAAATATTTTACCTGTACAAGAACTTCCATCTTCTGATATAGAATTGTTCTCTATATCTTTATCAAAGTGATTTCTATCTGATCCATTTTTATCTGAAGCTGCTATTATCATAATTTGATCGACAATTCGACGTTTTGCTCGTCGTGATGATTGTCGACCAGCACCTACAGAAAGAAAATCAAGATTTTTATCGAATAAGACTATTTTTTTTTTGTAAAAAGCAAATAATTGATTCATTTTCTTTTCACTTTTTCTCACCAAGACATTTAGCTAAATGATAAGAAAATTTTGTAGCTATTAAATTTGATTGACCGCAATTGGGACAAATACAAGTTTGTTTTTCAATTGAAATATTTTTATTTGCATAATTATTTATTTGAAATTGTTCTTGAGGAATTCCTTTAATTGATGAATGAATCTCATAAACTAAATCAAGTATCATATCGTCAATTTCACTATCAATCAATGACTGAAGAATTAAAGATAGCTCGTCCATTAAAAAAATTAAATAATATATCTGTAATAAGAGAGATTATCTGTATACTTGTTCGAACTGTATCTCATAAGAAATCATTCTTTAAAATTTCAATATCATTAATTAAGTTTTATAAGAGTTCTTTTTTTTGTTGTATCGAATAACAAAATAGAGACAGACAAATACACAGATGATGATGATAAAGACTAAATAAACAAATACATCAAGATATATCGAAAAATGTACAAAGCAAAAGAAAAAATGCGAACAAAGAAGAAGAAAGAACAATGTACAAATTGTTTCTGTGTTTCATGGATAACTTGTATTTTTATTCTTTATTGATACGGTTGAATTGTATAAACATAATTTGGATTTTCACCCGGTTGATCATTTCGAATACAAGTTACAACACGAACCTAAAATAAGAAAAATTCATGATACAGATTTTGCTAAAATAAATAAAGCTATTAATATAATCTTACTGAATGTCCATAAGGTTCAAGTCCATTTGGATTAGCAGCTGTAACATTTGATTTTGATGTCAATGTTTGACCAGACAAAGAAGTTGATGTAGCTGTTGCTGCTTGTGGTTGAACTTGTACAGTTGTAGCAACTTGTGCTTGAGTCATCGATCCAACTGTTTGATTAGATTGAACTTGTGCAACTTGCATACGTAAATCATCTGTTAACTCGCCACCCATTGTTATTGTTCGATCATATTTTGATGCATCACGGACTTTCGTTAAGAACGTTCTAAGTGGTTCAACATAGGAATCGAACCCGAGTGTTAACATTGCTAATAAAATATCTTCACCATTAATCGTTTTTCGTTTTTCTTGAAGGCATCGATCGGATGCTTCACTTGTAATAAATGATATAAATTCCGAAACACATCTATATTATTATTATTAAAATCGAATAAATAGAAAAATCAATTAAATGCAAATGACACACTTACTCTTGAATAGTTTCTTTTGCATCTTTAGCAATTTTTCCTTTTTCAGGAACACCTTTCTTCATTATTTTTGCAACATTTGCAATTGGTAAAAATCGATCTTGCTCACGCAATGGACCTGTATATCTGGGTAAACCTTCATGACCATCATCATATGATGAATCCATTAGATGTTGTTGTTGTGATGGTCGACCACGTCCACGATATGTTGATTGTTGATGATGACGACGATGATCATCGTCATCTTCTTCGTCTTCTTCATCAACTTCGTCATCATCTGAATAAGGTGCATCTTCTTTTGTTGGATGATAGGTATGATCAATGTTACCACCTGGTGATAATCGATGCATTGCATTTTGATGATGTGATGGAGGTGGCGGACGAGTACCTTGAGTACGACGCCGATGGATTGGACCATCATTTGAATTGCCTGAATCATTATCTGAATCCATGGTTAGCTTAGTCGAAGAACGATTCGAGGGAGAAATCGACCACTGGTCACGCAAAGTTTTTATTGAGAATGAATGGAGAAACTAATCAACAAATAAAGGCACAGCTAGTTATGGAACGTACATCTTGGATTTTGTCCTTACTCAACCAATAATAGGCCTCTAGCAAAACCTCCTTTATTTTAATAAATGTAAGTTTGAATAATAAGTTGGAAATAATAGTAAAAAAAAACAATCTTAAAATAAATTTCTAATGATATTTTTATAAATTCGCTTTGATATAGATGTCGCTTATCGCGCTAAAATAGAGTTGAGCAACACCCATATACTCTCTTTTAGATTTTTCCTAGAAATGCCATATATATATACTCTTTTATGTATTCTGTCAAAGATATTGTGTAGTTTGTAGTCACCCAAACAGATGAGAAAAAATGATGTGCCAAGCAACCGTTATCCGTGTAATTTATATCATAGTGAATTTTGTATAACAGGTTGTTTCGATGATGATATTACTCTAAAACGATTTTAAAATAGTTCCATGTATGAATATAATTGTTTCTCGATTCTTCAAAAGAAAGAAAATCAAGGGTGTGGGTTTTGGTGACTGTGTTACTTTGAAGCTTCAATGAATCTATACCCACACACCACTCTCTTCTATCAAATACAGCGTCCGATCAAAGAAAATATTTTGTCTGAGAATCGAGGATTGAGAAATATATAAGTACGAAACAAACCGGTATGTGCGCACTAGCGCCTCATTAGTAAAAGTCACAGACGCGTATTTCTAATCGAGAAATCCCACTTTCGATAGCTACACGATCAATCAGCATTCAGATAATTCTAGATTGCCGATGTTGTATCAGCATTTTTCTGCAGTTGAAATTTTATATCATAGTAGGAAATAGATTGTCATGAAGTAAACACACATTTACCTCACTCTATTTCAACTTTTTGTTCTTGTCTGTGACAAATATCTCGACCTTTCCCTACTCATTAAAACATGAAGGCTTGCTTTCAATGAAGCATAACTAAGTTTGTATTTTTTTTTCAATCAATGTATTTAATTTATATCTATAGTGATTATATAGGATTATATCGCGATACAGAGGATTTTTGTATAGAAAAAAAATTCTTTTCAATTCGGTCGAAATTAATGTCAGTGGTTCATCATTGTAATACAAATTTAAAGATGAGAGAACATCACATATACGTATATACTTCTAAGCTAAAAGCTAGAAAAACAATTACATCAGTTCTATAAACCCTTGAGTTTTATAGTTTTTTGTTATGTAGAATTTGAAACTTATTACAACTTCGTAATGGTGTACTTTAAATATAATACTGAAGAACTCGATATGTACATGGAAAATAAGGATAATGAATATATTGATACCAATAATAAGATGTTTGCTCAATATTAATGCACCGTCGTCTTTTTATATATTGACGAGTTTTTTTTCTTACAGCTTGATCGATTTTTGCGAATTTGTGTTTTGTTTTACATTTTTGTTGTTCATCTATTGATGTATGTCCACGAACTTGTATCACCTGAATAGAATTATTATGATTTTGCTTTTGAAATCTATTCAGACTTTCACAAATATTATAATATGAAATAGCATCGTTCTTTGTAGGACGTTTAAGAAGTTGTTCTACTTTAGAGTTATCTGTATAGATAATCAGTTCATTGTATTGTTTGCCTAATCCATATTGAATAGCGAGACATGCAGCATGAACTTCTGTGTCTGTACTACCATGTTTCGGATCATGAGGAGAAATGAAACGAATACTGCACTTTCCATTAGAAGCTCGAAAACCAAAATGACCTATTTTCATACAATGAGAGTAACTGCCATCACAATAACAAATTAATGTTCGTTCTTCAATGGATGGAAAAACTGGATTGATAGATTTATTCGTGTCAACAGTGTGTACTGTGCATATATTCATAGTAGTAATATAAATGCGATCAGATTTTGGATTCGAAAATAGACTAATGTTTCGATGATTCTTCGTTTCAGCACTAACGATATGATGAAAAATAGGTTCAGAGTTGTTTTGGCTAACATTAGACAACTTTCTTGTTGACTTTTGAGATGTTGATAAACATTGATGATTTTGATGAATTCTTCGATGATGTTTTGGTCTGCAAATATCATACATAATAGAAACAACAATAAACTCAAGTATGAACATGAACACAAATAAAATTGTAAACACCACATCGATTATTAAATTACATCCATCTTCGCAAAAGCCAGCCAGTATTTCAATTAGACTATTACTCATCAGTGCCAATAAATAATACCGATGAAATGAAGTAAAGGTATTCAGAGATTGTTTTTTTCTCTTCAAAATACAATACAAAGAGAAAAGCATTGTCAATAGATTAAAAGCAGCCACAAGCATACACATGCCAACCTTTTCGTCAAGAAAAAAAACGACCACTGACATACATTAACCTGTGTTTTATGTAACTGATATTTCATATATCATTAGAATTTCATCGTAAAACTGTAAAGACTTTAAGTGAAGTACAACTAAAAATAGTTGCAGTTTTCAAAAGGATTTTTATATCTATGCTGAATAGTTTTATCAATAGCGTAACTTGTGATTATGAATAATTAGGTAGCCAAGCACCGAAGTCCACTATACTACTCTGGAATATTTGGTATCAACCAGCAGAATATTACAAGAAAAATTGGTGCTAGCAAGAATGAAGAATATTTTTTATTTCTGACTTATTCACCTAGGTTAAAAGATATGATGTCGTAGACAAAATAGAACCATTTTCAAACAATCTTAAACGACACAAATATGATGATAACAAGAAGATCGTAAAATTTATTGCATTCTTGCCGAATAGCCGCCGTATGTTCATCATAAATGACGAGACATAAGTGTATGGCCGGTTATATTTGTACGACAGTATCCAAAGTGGAATTTTTCAACCTAGACATCTGTTAATAGCGCATTTGTTAGAAGATTTAAAAAATACTACTACATAATTGAAGTTATAAGTATTCTTCAAGATATTCAAAACTAGATGAAATAGTTTAAATTTAGATATCAGTGATTATTATTTTCGCTTTATTTTTATATAATTGTTAAATAATCTCCAGTGTTAAATATCCTTTGAACATTCCAAAATGAAAGAAACTAAGACATTATGTATTTTGATTTATGATTTCAAGTATTGATGGTTTTTGTACAGAGTATGAATATAATATCCATAGATCAAATTCTACACCCTGAATTCTCAATCCGAATCTTTACTCACCATATTCAACATTTTACATTCAGGTTTTTTTCAAGAAATTGCTGAAAGATCTGAATTCGTGGCTTTATAGATTTGATAAGGAAATTTTTAAGAAAATGATTCGTTTTTTTTTTGAAATAGCTTTTATTTTAGGAGTAAATAAAATTCACGTCAGAAATAATCTGTCTTCAATTATTTGTTTAGTTAGATAGTTGATCGGTAAAGATGGTTCCCGTACTTCAAGTTCGATAGATTTCTTGTATTTTCAAAGATTTGACGATTTACAGATTACACAAAAAACTGGTGTTATGAAAAATTTTGAGGAAGTTTAGATGAAAAATGACTGAGTTATACGCATCCGAAACTATACTCTTCCAGATAATCTAGAAAATAAGAACTCCTTTTATATATACATATATAAGCGTATGCCCGTGTTAAAAAAGAAGTGAATCAAAGGTTATCTTTTCTTGACAATGTCTTGCTACAGTGCTTTTTATTTCTCTTGTTTTACAATATAATAATATTCAATCAAACCTAGTATTTTTTTGCTAGTGGCAATATTTCGTTTTGTTTCGTATTCAAATATTCATCTCAGACAATCAGTGATATATTGAAAACAAAAGATTAATGACTGACCGAACCGACAAACACGACTTTGCTAAACCAGCTTTTGATAAACTAAGTAGTAAAATATATCCAAGTGATAAATTTTGTTTAGATTATATAAGATTTCACTGATAGATAGAAAGATAATTTCAGTCACGTTTTTGCAACATACGAGTACAAAAAAAATGAACACAATTATCGTTTTTTCTAATGCCAACCATTATTTTTTGAATAACGTTTGATCTTTTCAAACTATCGAGTTCGACCTTTCACCATTAGATGAATATTTTTCGTTAGTTTTCATGGAGATCTAACCTCAAATTACACCTAAATATAGCCTGAAGAGCCCTCCATTCACGTCAAAATCTCAAAAATTTAAAGAATTATGGTATTCAAGACAATGACAGAATGAACTGAAAATTTTATTATGAATACAGTATCTTCCAAACTACATTTTGTTGCAATTTGAGACTAGGTGCCTATGAAAACTAACGAAAAATATATCAATTAGAGATCTATCATAAAAACCTCCTTTGTTCCTAATGAATCTCATAGTGATAGACTCCTCGAAGTTGCTCTATCTAATGGTAAAAGGTTGCACTCGATACCTTGAAAAGATCACAAGTTATTCCAAAAAAATGTTTGTTAGTATTTTATAAAAACCGACAACAGATATTTTTCTCTCACTTGCTAATTCAAAGTAATCAGTAGAATTTATCACAAAAAAATTATTGGCGAGTAGTAAGAGAAAATAGAAAACTCTACATACATTTATTTAAAACTGAAAAACATTCGAGCGATAAAAAATGACTTATATAAAAATGTAACGGAAAAAGTAGATAAAATGAATTAGAATCAATTTCTTTTTAGTTATTTGGTAGAAAATCTTGATTTCTATTTTGATGAATAAATTCAATCAAAATATAATGTAGCACAAGCACAGTAACGGGTGCGCCAGGTGAAATGAATCTCTCAGTATTTTGACTATAACGTATTTTCTTGTTGATCCTTAGAACTGATTGTTCTTCCAAAAGATGCGCCGTGAAATTCTCTACAAATCATTAATCACACTTATTTCTGTAGGCAGTTATGGAAAAAAATTAAACGAAGATTATCGAACACGTAAAAAGTACTCAACTTTCTATGCTATTGGGTGTTCCATGAACGGTCCGTGTTTGTATCCCCTTTTTCATCATCTAGTAAGTTTATTTTAAAAGCAAATTATACCATAAGATGCAGCATGGAAAGCTCTATACGTTACATTAAAAACATTATTTTATATATGCACTCTATGTTTTTAAAATGGACAAAATTCTAGGCAACTAATTTTCGACAATGCAAACGCGATCAGTTTTGGTACACCACGAATTTATTTTTTTTATTTCATCTTTTTATTACCTAATACGTTGTATTAAAAGAAAACAAAATATACTACAAGATGCAGCGTGAAAGGCTCTACAATTTACAAGCAACAGTTTATTTTATATATCTGCACCTTTTGTTTTTAAAATAAGCAAAGTTCCGTGGGGCCAATAAATGACCTTTTCACTGTATGGAAAATTGGTCGGACAAATTTCGTTCATTTTTAAATGAACGAGCGCACAAGGTTTTTAATGTAGCGTACAGAGCTTTCCATGCTGTATCTTATGGTATAATTTGCTTTTAAAATAAACTTACTAGATGATGAAAAAGGGGATACAAACACGGACCATTCATGGAACACCCATTAGCATAGAAAGTTGAGTACTTTTTACGTGTTCGATAATCTTCGTTTAATTTTTTTCCATAACTGCCTACAGAAATAAGTGTGATTAATGATTTGTAGAGAATTTCACGGCGCATCTTTTGGAAGAACAATCAGTTCTAAGGATCAACAAGAAAATACGTTATAGTCAAAATACTGAGAGACTCATTTCACCTGGCGCACCAGTTAAGTTTTGCAATGGATTAGTAGAGTGATGGTGGAACAGTTTGATACTAGTGGAGATGTAAATAATGTTTATAAACAATTAAAGGTTGGACGCAAACTTTGCAAGTAAGAGTTAATTTGCGGGGTTGTGAATCGTGAATATTTTAGAGAGAGTGAAGAAAAAAAAACCTTTCAAGGTAATATTTGAAATATGAACTGATATCCCGTCATGTTTGGGATGCATGTTCAATCGCCACGCAGATAAAATATCCTCCCAAAACGAGTAAGATTCACAACTCAGTAGTTGTCTTTTTCTTTGCTAGATCAATGAATGCTATTCTATCAAATTCGATTCTAAAAATTAACAGTGGTAAATAAATGCAACACTTTTTGTTAATTTTTTTATTTCTTTTGAATTATTTTATGTGAAAATAGTCTTAAATTGACGTAAAATATATCACGTTTTACTCAAACTGCTAGTTTATGGATTGCCTGATTCATTAACATTTCAAATACTTGTTCCATGTGAAAAAATGAATCTTCATCAATTCATACTTTTGTCTTTTGCTCTCGGTCGAAAAGTAAACTATTTTTTTCATGAAACTAAATTTTTTTATTTAGGCTCAAAAAAAAGATATGTTTCCGATGTCCGAAACAAACTGATAAAAATGAATGAAATTTCTCACTGTAAACATTAATTCAAGGTAATTCAGTAATCAGTACTCAATACGTTTACAATAAAGGAGCAACACAATCTCATATCGTCTTTGAAAATACACGTCATACAGAACATCGTCCGTGGTTGTGGTCTTTTCGCTCGTAGTATAATAAGAGCACAATCAACAACACTTGTTCGTGCATCGGTCTGTGCTGCTTTAGTATCGATAATTAATCCATGGATTGAAATTATTGGTGAATTAATCGTCAAACAAGTAATATCATCATTTCGCCGACAATATTAATCTAATGATAAAACCAAATGCTTGTCAACGACAAAATTTATTGCACATTTAGTTAATCAAAATGTAGTATGTATTATTAAACAGATCAAAGAATATTTTCTACTGCTCTTTTTCTATTTAGCTACATGAGATAATTACATTAGAGATATTAATTCTTTTACTCGGAAGTCCATCTGATGATAATGTTGAACTTGCGATTGAATTCGTAAAAGAATGTGGACAAAAATTATGTGAAGTTAGTCCACGTGGATTAAATTCTATATTTTCAAAATTAGAAAGTTTACATAATAAACCACTAAAGAAATGTACACGAGATATGATTAAAGATTTAGTTGCTGTTCGAGAAGGTCAATTTAAAGAAAATCCAGCTGTTCCACGAGGTCTTGATTTAGTGCATAAAAATAATCAATATACACATATGATTACATTAGATACATGTGAACCTCAGCCAATACTTGGTATAATTCATATTCAATAAAATATTTTGTTTATCCTTCTTTTTTTTTAGATCTATTTACATATGATGAAAAGTATGAAGAACATGAAGAACAATATAATGTTATTCGAGCAATGTTTTTCCGTAAAAGTAGTGACGATGAAGATAAATCAAATTTGTCTATTAGTAATCATAAAGGTGATGGAAATAAAGATAACATTGATGACGAAAAAAGTAAGTCGAATTAGTCATTTGTAAGATTAAATTAAAATGTTTCTCTTAGAAGAAAAACAAGAAACAATTATTGACGACAGAGAAACAAATTTATTAATACTTCGTCGAGCAATGTGTTTAGAAATTGAGTCAAGTGTTGATCATGAAGTATTTGCAAAGGAAATAATTCAATTGAATTTAAGTCCTGAACAAGAAGCATGTTTCTGAAATATTGAGTTAGTTTTAATATAATTTAAATTTTAGATGAGATTATGTCAAATGATTGTTAATATTTGTGCTGAACAACAAACATATGAAGATTTTTTTGGCTTACTTGGTCAACGAATTTGTACCTTAAAAAAAGAATATGTTAAATATTTTGAAAAAGTTTTTCAAGATCAATATGAAATTGTTCATGGTCTTGAAAATGTTAAATTGAGAAATGTCGCTAAATTTTTTGCACGTTTACTTTTCACTAAGTGTATTTCATGGGATGTATGTATTCAGTTTTAATATCAAATGATATTTATTCTTTTCTTTCTAGGTACTTAACTGTTGTAATTTAACTAAAGATACAAAATCATCAGAATGCATTTATTTCAAATATTTACTTCTCGAAATAGTGGAATTTCTTGATAAATTATCTTTATAATAGAAAGAAGGATTTTTGTATTCAGAATTGATTGTGAAATAAACAAAAATACCAAATAAATCTGTAAAGGTCTTTATAAAAAGATTTTCAAAAAAAATACAATATCTAATTTACTGTTCTAATTACTCTAGTAAACTTTCAGATAATATTTGACGACGAATTTCAGTAAAGATCAATGTGACTGGGGATGTTTGTGACAAAAATGGAATTATCTTTTCTTTTTAGCTTGTATTAATATTCTATAATGATCAGTCATTGAGTAGAATTTCTATTTTATTTTATTCTTGAAAAATTTTGTACTCAAGATGTCACTAATACTGAATTAATAAATATTTTTGTTTTTCTATTCTGCATTTCATTTGGAATGAAAATTTATTATGTTTTTCTTTTTTTAAATCATGGTCAAATCTTGTTAAAATAAATCTTGATTTTTGAATTATAATATCAATAAATAAAATAGAATTTGTTATTCAATAAAAAAAAGAACATCACCAACAGAATCTGATAAGACAAGAGATAAGTTTCTATTAATATAACTTTTTATTATTTTAATGATAAATGAAGATAATCTACTCAAATGTCGAATTTAATATTTTATTCATCAATGATCAAAAAGATAGTCAATAATAAGCAAAAAAAAACTTATTATTTCGAGGAGTCTTTATGAGAAGAATCTCTTTATTTTTCAGTCTGTCTATATCTTATTTGTACTCATCTATTTGTTGATGTTTTTTTGCATGTAGTTAATGTCTGTGAAGATCATTCAACATGTCATATTGATTAGTTATTCTCTTAGATAGATGATGATCAATCGAGAAGCATAGAATTATTTTTGTTGTGTTTTATTTTTCTTATTGATAGTCATTTGTTGGATTTGCATCGATTGATCAGATTTTATTTGAAAAGAAATTCTTCAATTAATCGAAATAATTTTCTTCAACAATTTGTTATTGATTCAAAAACAAAAAAAACTAAACCCAAATATTTGATCGTGAAAAAGTAAAATATTTTGCATAAGAAGAAAATGATTTATTAAGTTATACTGATAACGGTATTTGGATTCCATATCACAATCGGGTCGACTTAAACAAGATTTTGGTATGAAAATTAATTTTAATTTAAAAAAACAGACAATTAAAACAAAATATTTCACTGGAATACTATTATATTCAAAACCTATACTCTAACGTTTAAAAACCTATCGATTACACGAGGATTTTAAATCAGTAGAACTATGCAATTTAGATTACCATTTCGAATGTGGTTCACATATTGATTCTCATATTGATGATGTATGGATATTGGATGAACGTTTAATAACTATAAATTTATTATCAAATACAATTTTAGTGTCACAACCACGAGTTTTCTTTTACTAAGTAACAAATATTTTTCAACAAAGTAAGAAAAGAAAACTTTCAAATTTAGTGCTTCTATGAAATAATCGATAGCCAATTCAATTATATTGAAAATAAGTAGCTTGTAAATTTTATAAAATCATAGTTTCGTGAATATTTTCATAGCAGAACTCTTTATTGAGTGATAACAAACGAATAGTTTAAAAAACGCATAAAAAAATTCCATTTGTCGAGCTGTTTCTAATGGTATTGAGTAAATAAAAATGTATTAACATGTTGAATATTTATATTTATTATAATCCTCAGCATTGTTAATTTTTTTAATGCCATCACAATAAAGATATAATTCTTCATAGGGATTAATTCTTCGCATAGCAGCTAAATGCCCAAATGAACTTTTTGAAATCACAGCTAAATGGCNTCAAGATCATCGTTTTGTGTTTCATGGCGGAATTTTTCTACTACGTCTTTTTTAAATATTTTAATATCACTATTATAAGCATATATTTCAAAGCACCAATAAAATGTGTACGGAAATACTATTAAAATAATGAACAAAAGTAAAAATAAATAATATTTTCGACGTCGTCGATGATATAATGAATAGTATATAATACGAAAAACTTTCATGTAACAAAAATGATCCAGATGTTAACAGATATGCATCGAAGTATTCATCATACAGAGAGAAAAAAAAACAGTTGTTCTTCTCTTATACAAATGTCAAATAGAGAAAGAACGAGAAAAAGAAAACGATTGCGCATGACAAAGAAAGAACAGACGAATATAAATGCTGATGTTGATGTTCTTATGATGGATTATTACATATGAATGTGTCCGGAAGAAACAAGAGAAGAGAACAGAACAAGAACTTATATTCTTCGTACTTCATGTGTTATAAGGCTGCAAATATCTATCCAGCTGTTAGTTAACATATAGTGATCACCTAAACAGCCCCATCGCATTACTCCCTTAGATTTTATTCATATTATGAACATTTTTCAATTATATATATACGTATATATACAGAAGATTGAAAATAAATGTTTTTAAGCTTTTATTTAATGGAAATTATTTTGAATAATAAATTATATGAAAATAGGTGAAAAGAAAATTAGCACTTTTTTAGTTTGAACAATCTTTAGGTTAGCTATATTTATCTATACTTTTTCATTTTGTTTTCATTTGAGAAAGTATGCTGTTATGTTAAATTTAGCTACAGTACTATTTCTCGGTATAACATATATGCATTTGAAGAATTGTAATTGTATTATTTGAACGTCGTTTTGTAAATATTCAAAAAAAATCACTTTTAAAGAGTTCAAGTAAATTTTATAATCGTTCATTAACATAGAATCGAAATGGAAAGTAAAGCTGAGGTGTGAAGCACTAAAATATCGAAGAAAATATACTACTAGTCATTTTTGTTGTTCGTAAGAAAAAAAATGATCGTTTTTTTATGGCCTTCAGTGTGACTCAAAATTTAACTTTTCTTGCATGATTCATTTGACGAAGGTTAACGAGAAGAATGATCGACTATTAAGAAGTATTTCTTCAAAAATCTATCTAATCAAACACAATTTTATAGAATATTCTAAAAGTCTCTCTTTTTCAGTGTCAATCGAATGATGATTTACCGATGATAATCATGCTAATATTTCTTTTCAACTGCTTTTCTGTCGTTTTTACTATAAGAACATTATATATTTAACTAAAAAACGTCAGTATATATATGAGAGAAGAAATATTATTTCAATAAAGTTCCAAATAATTGTAAAAATTCATCCAGATCCAGTCTATATTCGGCTTTTAGATGAAAAACTAAAATATGTATTTATTAACGGTATTTGACAATAATAACAAGTTTTTGTTAATTTTAAAATAAATGGTCAACATAAATTTTCTTACTATTTAATATTTATTCAATATTTGAGCTTTCATTTTCAATATAAAAGATTAATCATACTTATTAATTTTGCTGTTGATCATGTAGATTGTTTATTGTTGCGACTTTAATTCTGTATATCCATACAAGTATTGAAAATACGATATGTAAAACAATGCTTTGAAAACAAAATCGAATTCTACAGAATTCACTTCTATTGATATCACCGTTGATCTTTCATAAACATTTAATTCAATTCAAATTATAAGCCATTGAACCAAACAGCAATGGCTACTCGAAGTTTTCCATGCTTTTTTTTAAAATTTTATTGTTCGAAACAGCATTTTGAAGTAGAGATAAAATAATCATAGAAAATGTAATGATAAGAAATAGTGCAAATATATATATTCCTAGAAATTGACCTTAGATGTCGAAAACTGTGAAAAGTGTAGTATTTATATTTAAATCACAATGACATCAATTAGCATTTTTAGAAATCGTTTAGACGAACGGTGGCCAGTGGGTTGAATTATCATGCAGAGCGTTGCTAGTAACAGCTACGATACGCTTTAAAAAACTTGTAGTCATGGACAATCGCGTCGGGCCAGCAAATCGGCTTATATTTCTGAATATTATAGACTTTATCTCATTGCTGATTTTTGTTTTGCTGTCAATAACTGATGTGTTTTATTTATCTAAAGCGATTCATTTTAACTTTGATATTATAAAAAGAAGATTTACATTGTACTTTAGTCTGCAAAAATAAGATAGAGACTTTCAACTATAATCTTATCACAGAAGAGATAAATAGAAGGTACTTATGCTAAATAAAACTTGTTAATATCTCTTGAAAACAACCTGACTATAAGAGACAATGACAAAATAGCAAACAAGTACCACACTTATCCATGGCCAGATAATATATAATTAATCATGTAAAAACAAAACTACTATTTTCTTTTTCTTCTTCAAACGAGTGTTACTACAAAAAGAAATTGAATTAAATATTATATAGATCTACAAGTAATAGTTAATTGTATAAAATTCTATTGCTAATATTAATAATTTCTTAATGAGTTCGATTATTAAAAAACGTAACAAATGTACGAATACTTGAGGAAGACAACGATTTCTAATTGATGTTATTTTGCCAATAAGTTGTTCTTATATCTAAAACACAGAAAAGCAAAAGATAATTAGTATGAATTTTTATCGAAATAAAAATCTCTCCTACATGATAGTCGTTATTAAGAGACGTTCCACGAGAAAACCGAACATTTCTATGAGGGTCGGCCGGGGAAAAAATTTTGATTTTGATTTAACCTATCTAGTTTGAAAGAGCGTTCATTTTTATATGTAGATCCAAATTTTTTCGATTTGAAACCTCACAGAAAAAATTTTAAGCGCCAACGACTTTTTTCATCCACTAAAATGACAAAAAAAATTTTCAACACCTCAGTGCTGTTCGTATTTTCTCAATATCTTGCCAACGGTTGAAGCGATAGTATTCATTCAAGTTTCATTTGATAGCTCTTGATTTACTCTACAAAATGCTTACGACGATAAAAAATATTTGCTCCTGAAATTTTGAGCTAAAACGGTGTGAAGGTAAAAAATCATGAAAAAATATTTTCAAAAAAACTCGATTTTTTGTCACCATTTTTGACTTTGTAAATCCAGATATGAAACCTCCACGAAAAGTTTTATTGCATCTTGTAGAGCTTTTCAAGCTGCATCAAACCATAGATGAATGAAGG